GGTTCGGCAGGGCTTGAGGTTTAGGGTTTACGATTTCGGATTCAGGCGATTCGGGTAGATGGGAGTGTCGATGGTTGGGACTTACACCAGAATCTCTGAGCGTGGTGTAGAGTTTAAGATTGGGGATGGGATTTCAGGATTGTGGGTTTACAGCAAACCCCATAAAGTTGGAAACCGGATTAAGGCCAAGTTAGTGCTGGGATTCCCTATACATTACTCTTAAGGAGGGAGACTATGGGGTTTGCAAGTTTTAGGCTTCTACTATAGTGTGCTTGTGCGGAAAGCCCCGCTGGTTTTGGCAGTGATCGTGCCCACTCGAGGCGTGCGTCAGCCTGTTTCACCCACCGGCGAAAGCCCGCGAACCACAAAATCAGCTCTCTTTTTGAATTTCGGGGGCTTCAAAAGGTAGGATGAAGGTAGGTGGGATATTCCCAAATAGGAGTCCTTATATAAGGGATCCTTAATCCCACCTACCTTCATCCCACCTTGTGAGGCCTCCTTTTGAATTTCGCTTTCATTCCTGGGTGGCATTATGGCTCTCTCCAAAGGGACCCTATTGAGAGGGTCTATATTTTCAAGGGTCCCCCTAATCTGAACTCCTATTCATGGCAAGGTAGATATCTCGCTTTGGATGTTTATGGTGCTACGAGTAGGTTCGACCTTCGTTTTGGAAAGCATGTTGCGATGCCGTGCGAAAGATGCAGGGGTCCAGCTGGTGCGACGCCCAAGTGCAGCCCCGGGTTCCGAGCTGTGGGGCAGAGTTTCGGGAATCAGGATTTAGTCGACAACCCTATCCCCGAACCCAAGCTAAAGGTAGAGAGCTGAGACATTCGAAGGTCTTCGATATATGACGGCTTCTCGATGCTTCGTCCTGTTTCTTGGGCTTGCCGAGGTCGCCGGAATGGTGCTCAAAGGATCAGTGGAATCAGTATATAAGTGATTTTGTATCTACCCTGACTTGGGTTATAAGTGATTGTAAGTATAGTTGCCGTACTTATGACAGTACTTAGTAAATCCCAGGATCCTTTAAGTATCCTGAGTCGAGACATGATTCGCACGGTTTCTCATCCGGATCATGAGCCCTCCGGTCGCTTGGAGGGTTTAGGGATTTAAGGTTTAGGGCATCGGGCTTAGGGTTTAGGGATATCAAGTTGAACTTAAGGGTTCAGGATAGGGTCTAGGGATATAAAGTTGAGATTAAGGGTTCAGGAATTCGGGTAAAATAGGGGCCTGAATATGACTCTTGAGGGCCGTAGGGTTCCTGTCCAGTATAGTACTAGTCTAGAGACCGCGCAAGACCCTAATCTTTTGGCCTTAAACCCCGAACCCAAACTTTCATGTTAGAGCTACTCCTTCCACACACTCTGCCTGGCCGTGGCTCGACTGATGTTGCGCTCGCACAGCTTTTGGTTGGGATCTTTTGAGTCCAAGCGCTGCTGTTGCAAGTTCGCAAAGTTCTGTGAGCTCACGGACTAAGTCTGTTAAACCCAAACCCTCAAATCGTGAATCCTACATGTAGTGCTGATCATGGCAGCCATGGATCAGCCAAGATCTGCCAGAGGAGGTCGGACTGGGTGCTTGAAGGGTCCGGGCATGTTAGAGACTCGTGTTCCAGAATACGCAAGAACCGTAAACCCTAAACCCCTAAACCCTAAACCCAAAAAGACCGCCTACTGTGACTTAACTGCAGTCCTGTATGATGCGCCCAGAACCGCGACGGTGCTGCCAGGACTTGTGAGGGGGCTGGGCCTTCCACAGCTAGCACAGTAACTGAAAAATGTCCTGTTGCTTTCTTTCTGCCTGTCTTGCCCCAGGCCTTCGCAGGCATGCATGTCCAGTGACCTCTGAATCCCAAGCCCTATGCCCTAAGCCCTAAGCCGGAACCACGTGTCTCTCCCGTAGCTGGGCTTAATTCCAGTGGAGCTCGGCGCATGATTCCATGCTCAGAGCCCTTCTCTTCATTGCGCTTTCTGGCAGCAATGTTCTTTTGAGCATGTCGCAGCCAGCCGCCGTTGCGGACCCCTTAATATTCTTATTGATTGTCATTATTGTTATTATCATGTTTATCTTTACTATTTAGTACTCTGATTGACTATAACTAGTACTTTTATTATCGCCGTTGAGGACCCCAAGCAGGCTCCACCTTCGAGATCAAACCTCCAGTTTACGATTGAGGAAGTGGCCAAGCACAACAGTCAAAGTGATATCTGGGGAATCGTTGATGGCTACGTCCTTGATCTCACTGGCTTCACGAAAGACCATCCTGGTGGTGAGAAGATCTTTCAGATAACTCATGAGAAGAGCTTTTCCTTTGCGCATGGGCCCAACGCCCACTTTGGAGCCACCGCCGCTGCGTTTGCTGCAGCCTGCAGAGACTTTGAGAGCAACGGGCGGCCGGAGGGCTTCGAGTTCACCTTTCAGAACCTGGGTTCTTGTTAAGGGGTTCAATCTAAAGTTGCCATATTCGGGATCTATAGCAAATTACAGGGTTTCCTTATTATGATGACTTAACCCCTAACCCTAAACCTCTAAACCCAAGAAGCCCCTAAACCCCAAAACCCCTTAACGCCTAAACCCCTTAACCCCTAAACCCCTAAATCCTTAAACCCCTAAAGCCCGAAATCCCTAAACCCCTAAACCCTAAAGCCCCAAGCCCTCAAAAGAGCCCAGGAACTCACGGAAGAACGGTGGCTTAGACAACGGGGGAAGCCTGACTGGCCGAGCATCCGGGCCCGTTGGCACCGTGAAGTTTCTAGGGAAGGTCTTCACAGCCTGACGAAGCTTTTTGTTTTTTGAGGGGTGTGGTTTTAGGGTGTCTTAGGGGGCTTAGGGGTTTACGGATCTTAGGGGTTTAGGGGGTTTAGGGATCTTAGGGTTTTAGGGGTTTAGATTTAGGGTTTAGGTTCAGGGTTTAGGGTTTAGGGGTTTTAGGGGTTTAGGGGTTTAGGTTTGTGTTTGTCAGGGCGTAGGATTTTAACTTTTAACCCTTCCCTTCTTGGGAAGTTTATTGCGTGGAGTCGGTTCCTGACCGCAGAGCCCGCAAGCAAAACATGGAAAGAGATCTCTGTCTTTGGAGTACGTACCGTAATAGTATTGTAGGGTTATAGGACTATACTACTATTGTAGTAGTATAGTACTATAGTAGTATGATAGTATCATCGTACTATGGTACCATTAAAGTATCTCTCTGTTGGGGGCTGCATGCTTGATGCCGTGACGGAGTACCACGAACTGAACTGCTACAACTCCACCGGCCAGTGCAATCACAACGACAACTGCCGCTCGTGCTGACGCGTGCTGCTAGTGTTGAGGCTGCTGCTACCAGTAGGAAGCTGGAAAGGGGCTTGGGGTTTCAGTTGAGGGTTTCGGGCTTAGCGCAAACGCTTGGCATTTAAAGCTTGCAGTTGTCTTGCGGCATAGTACTGAACATGAAGTACAAGACCGTGCCATACGGATTCCCTCAGCCTTCCCCGAAAGAAGCATAATGAGCTTGCCCATACGATGACGGTATTCGGACCAAGGGAACTGGCCATCCATGCACAGAGCTTCAGCGGCTGCCAAGTGGCATTGAAGTTAAGGCTTTATCAGTCAGGAAGCACGGAATCGCAAACACTTTCTCAAGCTCGTACCCTAAACCCCGACCCCTGTTTACTCCACGCTCACAAGATTGATCTTCAAACCCTACACCCGAAGCTTTAAGACTTAGCCACCACCGGCCAATGACCCCAACAACCCTAAACCACAAAACCTAAAGCATTACACACGCTTGATCCCAGCAATGAGGAACCTCTGGGGTCAGCTGACAATGTTGTTTTTTCCCAGCTAGCCGTGTTAAGGGATTGGGAGTGTAACAGTCGTCCAACACCTGCCGTATCCTGATTGTAACCCTTTAGTCGCACCTTGGCCATGTAAGTTAAAGCAACCCATAAATCTTGCCCTAAACGCTGGAACCGTGCAATTTGAAGACCCTGCCAAGGACATGAGAGAGAAACCTGTCATACATGGAACATCAGGCTGGGCAGCTCGCCGGAGCTAAGACTCCGATGCAGCCCAGCTTCTCTGACCTCGACCAGCTGACTGTTCTCTGTCGCCAGGCCACTGGCGACTGGAATCTTTGCACTGCGTGGGCACGCCCCTCAGCCTCTCCTGCAGTCTGCCTCTCTGTGCACTGTAATTCCTACCTACCTGCAGCTACAGAGCCGCCAGAGCTCTTCCGGAGCATGCGCTTGGCCTGCTTCCCAGTTCTTCATTACATGGCTGAGGCCACGTGGCTTCGAGTTCGATGAGCAAGTAAGGTTATGAACAATTCCTGCCTGTAGTAGATGAGCTCTACTTACTAAGTCCGCTGGGCATTCAAGTCGCATTACTTGCCGACCTCATTGAGCTGTGTATGGGTACAAGCATGTGAACGCGTAAGAATGCGACAAGTATACGACCCATACGGACAAGTCTACGGAATAACTTGGCAGATACCTAGGCGTGCGCGTGCTCATGAGAGTCATGGTGATGATTATGATGAGGAAGACGACGATGTTGATGTTGATGCTGTTTTCCTTGCCGCTCCAAAAACTAGCTAGCACTACTTCCTAGCATTTTGAACCAGCTTCGTAGCATTTTGAACCAGCTTCCCACGGCCTGCAACCTAGATACGTCACTGCTAAACTCCATTGCTAGCTCCTAGTACCTGCGACTTGCCACCCAAACTTGTTACCTCGCACCTACCTCTTACTCTTGCTCCTGCTCCTGCTCCCACCTCCTACCCGCGCCTGGATCTGTGGCTTTATCGCGGGGCAATCGAGCCGTACGTCTTAAGCAAAGCCTCCCTCCGCCTCTGCACGAATCGCAACCTCGCAGCTTGTGTCATCGAGAGCAGCCGCGAAGGGCTTTGAATGGCAGGTTCATTTACTATCTTCCCATTCATTGGAGCACTAATCACAAGCAGCCTGCTTTCACGATTTTCTCTCAGCATTTTCATCATTTCCCGTTTCTAGCTCGTAGCCATGGCGATGCAAGTCACAGACGTGACCCAAGAGGAGCTGGATGAGCCGACGGCCCTCTCAGGTGCACCGGCCCAGCCTGAGGCATCGGCAAAAGATGGCCTTGCCGAGGTCAACACAGATGTGCAAGATGCGGCTGAGACAAGTCGAGGCATGAAGCGCTCGCATGGGTTTCCGTGGGTAGCACGAAAGCTTCCGAGACTGTGGAATCCAATGCTGCGAGCCCCGCCGAGATCGTTGAGTCCAATGCTGGGAGACCCACCCAGATCGTTGAATCCAATGCTGCGAGCCCCACCGAGATCGTTGAATCCAACGCCGCGAGGCCCACCGAGATCGTTGAATCCAATGCCGCAAGCCCGACCCAGATCGTGGAATCCAACGCCGCGAGGCCCACCGAGATCGTTGAATCCAATGCCGCAAGCCCGACCCAGATCGTGGAATCCAACGCCGCGAGGCCCACCGAGATCGTTGAATCCAATGCCGCGGGCCCCACTTCGGGCCCAAGACGCTTCCAGAGACCCAAGGTGGCAGGACTGGGCCAACAGATGGTATGGGTCTTGCCCGAGCAAGCCCAGTGGCCGAAATGCAACTGGGAATCGGACCCGAGACGATTCGAGAGACTCAAGAGATTCCAGAGATTCGAGAGACAGCTGGCAGAACGGATGGCAAGGGTCCTGGGGCCCACATGAAGCTTGGAATCGAACTCGAGATGATTCAAGAGACTCCAGAGACTCAAGGGGCTCCAAGGATTCTCGAGATGACTGGCATGGATGGTGGGAGCCTTCGGGGAATCACCAAGCTTGGTCCAGGGATTCTGTGACTGCGTGGCAGAGGCCTGAGAACTCCTCGGCCGGAGGGGAGACGACTTGGGCGCTAAAGGAGCTCGCTGAGGTTCGGAAAAAGCTGGTTGCCGCCGAGGAAGCCTTGTGCCACGAGAAGAGTCTGCGCACCAACTTGCAGCAGAAGCAAGACCTCGAGGAGAAACAGGTGCAGGAGCTACAGGCAAGCTTGCAGGAGCAACAAGAGGAGCTAGCGTTGCTCAAGGACGCAGAGGCCAGCTGGCGGGAGCAGCAGTGTCTAGCTAATGAGAAGCTACAGCAGCTGCAGGCTGGGCTTGGGCAACATATTGGACGTAGCAAGGAATGATACAGATGGACAGATGTTCTAAGCAATCATGTTAGGTTAGTGAACATCAGAAGCTGTATGGATGTAGATCAACAGTTTAGAAAGAGAATAGGGCCCGTGTCCACGCCGAGGCTCAACTGAAGGCCGAGAATGTTCGGCGGATCCTTGCAGAGGAGCAGCTCGAGAAGTTGCGACCGCTCACAAGTTCTGTCAACCATGGGGCATTTTGGCAGTACGAGCTAGACGGTTGCTGGCACGCATTCACACCTGAGGGCAGCGAGCAGATGCACCGTGCCTATGTGGCATACCTCGCCGACGGCCAGAAGCGTGGCACTGCGACCATAGTAGCTGGGGGTGTTGCGCGCCTGATTGATTTCAGGCGAATGACCCAGCAGCATGCCATCACCAAAAAAGTGCGCAATATCCGCATTCGCATGGGGGTACCTGTTGAGTGGGAGAGTGGCCCATCAGTTCTGCTGACGCAGAGCGACAACTCGGAATCTTGCTATGTGGAAGTGAAAGACCAACCTATGCTCGAGTGGATCAGACTCATTCTCATAAAGACAGGCCACTTTCGTGACAGGTCAAGTGCTTGCTTCTGCATGCAGAAGGCGACAGTCAAGTCAGTCCATCGCATTGAGAACTTTCGGCTTTGGCATCGTTATCAGGCCAGGCTTGCTGCGATGAGGGAGGACCATGCGAAATACAACGTCTCTGTGCAACATACAGATCTCGAGTTAGACTTTAGTACACGCTCGGGCGTGATGACTTTTTCTCAATCTTATCTGAGCTGTGGGGAGCCCATGGCCTCTGATGTGCAAGAGAAGATACTGTTGCATGGTACCTCCTGGGAAAATGCTGATGCCATCGTCATGGACGGTTTCGATCACAGGACCTGCGCTCGTGGTATGTATGGGGACGGCGTCTGCTTTGCGGGTGCTGCATGCAAGTGCCACCAGTACACATGCCAAACACACAGTGGCAAGGCGTGCTCGTGTAAACACGAGAGGACCTTGATCATTGCTCGTGTGGCGCTTGGTGATGCTTACCATGCATCTCAAACCCGAAAAGGGGAACGTCGGCCTCCGAAGAGAGATGGGGCAGCAGGTACACATGGTTCTGTCGTTGTGAATCCTGGGCGAGTCCATGGGCATCACAATCCCAGTCAAATTCACCAGGAGTTCGTCATTTTTGATCGAGAGCAAGCCTACCCGGCGTTCGTTGTCCAATATGTGCTGTAATGCCCGCAGCTGTGGACTGCATGCCGGGATCTAAGCAAATCCGAAGTCGTAGTACTGGGAGGAATGGTAACAATGTTGCTAATAGTCTACTAGTACTCAAATCCTCATCTTCTCGAATGGCGTTCTCAGCGTGTGACCGAACACGGAACCATGGCCTGGCGAAGTCAGGACCTTGGGAGTCTGAGTTTTTGAAGACGAGACGGCCGGCCCGAAGCGCGTGCGTCAGCATCAATACTCTTCGCAATCATGATGCCACGATGTGAGTGTTACGACATTGCGGCTGTGCTAGTGATACCAAAGCTCCGGAATCGTGAGGCCTGGCATGGACACCTGGTCCCCTATCTCGTTTCTATCCTCGAAGTCTGGCCCGAAAGACTTAGGTATTGATTCCCGGACTCCTCAACCTTGACACCCTGCACCACAGCGCCTCGAAGCCACTCGAAGCCCGCAGAACCCTGAATCCCAAGCGCTCCCGAAGCCCGCAGAAACCCTAAACCCTAAACCCTAAACCCTAAACCCCCCCCCCAAAAAAAACCCTAAACCCTAAACCCTAAACCCTGAATCGCAAAGGCCTGAGCCCTTCAACCCCCGACCCCAGAGACCCCGGGCTGATGGGATCCCGCACAGGTCGGACACGAGAGCTGAATGACGCCATGGTTTCGGATTTGGGGGCTTGGCTTTGAGGTCTAAGGATTTTACGATGGTTTGGTTTAGGTATAGGATTTGGGTTTTGGGGGCTTTGCTGTAGGAGAGGTTTGGGTATAAGGTTTGGGTTTAGGGGTTTGGGATCTAGGGTAAGGTTTTGGGCTTCTTTCAGACAGTTGGTACAAGAGGTGGGCTGCAGAACATGCATAGCCATGAAAGACGGAAGTTAAAAGGCCGGAACTCGGCGCCAATGAAAGTAAACCTTAGGCCCGCAAGCAAGCGGATTATTGTTACTGTTCATTCTTCTCCGTCTCATTATCATTAGTCTGTTTGGCCCTGTATCACCAAGCGGCGAAGCCAGCAAGACGCTGGGAAAACAGCTGTGTATCGGGGAAGCAGGGTTTCAGAGATTTCGGGGGGTCAGGATCGAAAACCCCCAGACCCGGCAGTGTAACCCTAAGCCCCGAGCTCAGAACCAGGGTCTCTGAGCGCAGAGTCCCAAAGTCCACATTTCAGTTTGTTTAGATGTTGACCCTCTGGGCCTAGATCAGATGTGAGGTGGGGTGGTGGGGTGCAGATGGAGAGGACGGACTATGGTGATGAGCGTAGTTGTTATGTTGGGGTGTGGTGACGATGCCGACAATAACGGTGGTTTCGCCTGGTGGTGACATCAGTGTTGATGACGATGATGATGGCTATGGTGGAGATGATGTTAACGATGAAGCTGCCGGTGCTCCTTCTTCTCCGAGTGCGGCTGCTGCTGCTGCTGCTGCTGCTGCTGCTGGTCCTGCTCCAAGTCTGCTTGCATAATCTTGCCATTCTCTTGGCGTCGCTTGTTGCTCGATCTGTCTTTGTCATCATAGCGCTTCGGACCCGAACTTGGAAACCTGCGTAGGCTCACTGGTTAGGGTGAGGGTTGTCAGGTCAGAGATCGATGCCGGCCCTGTGGAAGCCTCCGCCCAAACACCCGACAGTGTAAGCCTTCAGTCATGAATGACAAACTCTCAACCCTAAGACCTTCAAGCCCCCAGCCCCACGTCGAAAAACTGTCGGAAACATCCGATGTCGAAGACAGAAAGCTCCGAAGTGCCGCGCCGCCGCGCCTCCGAAAGGCAGCAGAGGGGCAAGGTAGGTACAACCAGCGCCCAGTCTCCGGCGCCGTCTCCCACAGGTCCCCTGGCTGCATAGATTTGGGCTTACATGTCGTTGCTAGATAGCTATGCAGTGTCCGCATACAAGTAGACGTAAACGTGCATGTCGGTATATCTCGGTGTACATGTATATAAGCACGTACGTATGTATGCTGTATGCACGTATAGGTGTATACAGTCTACATGTTTTTTTTTTTTTTTATGTATACGCGTGTACACACGTACGTGACATAGTGCTTCGTGTATCTCGGCTCTTGCATGTACATATCCCGACACGTCTGCATGCGATGCAGTGCACCTCTGCACAAGATCGTAGATGCATGTGCACGCACACATGCGACGCACAAGCAAAAACAAACACACACACACACACACACTCACGTATATGCTCACGTCTCTATGTATATCTGTGTGTGCATATGTGTATGTATGCACACATGTACTTCGCTGTCGAACCCAGGCATGGCAAACAACCAGGACGAGCAGAAGGACAAGGAGGACCACGGAAGTTGCATGAGGATTCCGAGTTTAGAGTGTGAGGTGGAGCCCATCTCTCGCCGGTGATGCTTCTGAGCTGTTTAATGCTGGACAGGACTTCAGTTGATCTTTCCGGCAAGGCCCTGAACCCCTAAACCCCCAAAACTTGAACCCTGAACCCTAAACCCCTAAAGCCCAGGAGTACAAGACACTGTGGGGAGTTCGCGGCTGAGAGATGGTTGTGGGGTTTTCGGAACTTGTGGGGTCACGGGTTTGGCGTTTATAGTGGGGTTTAGGATTCAGGGCTAATAGCTGAGGGTTTAGGGGTTTAGGGTTTAGGGTTTAGGGGTTTAAGGGTTTAGGGTTTAGCGGGTTAGGGGGTTAGGGTTTGTGCATAGGCCCGACAGCGTGTGTCTGTGTGGTTTCAGCCGCCCTGACCATGTCATCCTGCACGCTCCACTTTCTGCAAGTGCTAACCAGCTTCCAGAGAGCCCACGGCCTCAGCGATGTACGGCAAGAGAGTGTCAAAACGAGGAGACCTTAAGTAGGCTGTAAAGCCCCATAGAGGTCATTGCGAAACCGTAACAATACTCTAAGATGAATATACATGCCCTATATAACAAACCCCTGAACCCTAAAACCCCAAACCCTACAAAACCCTAAACTCCCGAACCCCTAAACCCTAAACCCCTAAACCCTAAACCTAAAGCCCTTTAACTAAAAGCTTCAATAACCCCACAAAGGCCCGGATCCTTTGGCCGCCTGACATGCCGGATGACATGCTCGAGGATGCTGCAGGGGCCCTGGTTCTTTTGGGGCTCTCGGGGCGGTGTAGGGTTTAGGGTTTTTGGGTTTTTTTGGGGTTTAGGGTTTAGGGTTGTTTTGGGGTTTAGGGTTTAGGGTTGTTTTGGGGTTTAGGGTTTAGGGTTGTTTTGAGGCTTTCAGGGCGGTCGAGGCGTAAGGGTGCCAGAGGTTGACGTTTAAGTTCAGGGCTTGGGAGTTGGGTCCAGAGTTTAGCGGTTAGGGTTCTAGACTAGAGTTTACCGGAGTTCCAATACCCAGGAATTTAAACGTTTCCTTTCCTTGTAATATGCTTCCGACAACTTAACCATTTATTCCCTTGGGTTGGTTGTTGGGGGCAGAAAGTTCGGGCGCAGGGGTGGTGCAGGGTCCTAAACCCTAATCGGATTTGCGAGTTTGGCGTTAGGACTTTCACTGAGTGTGTTTTGTGAACACAAGTTTATGGTAGGCGGTCGTTTTTTCATTGTTTGTGGGGTCTGAATGTGCTTTAAGCTCTTGGGGTTTAGGTAGGCTTCAGCTGTCCGATTTAACCGTCGAAGTATGCAAGTCTAGGGGTTTGAATACCTCCTTATCGACGCTATATACTTATACCCCAGTAGATCCCACAGTCACTAAGGCTCCTAGTCTAGGGATTTGGGCTTAGGGGGGGCAGAATTCCGTGGCATTTGTGGAGCCGTGTGGCTTTCCCGAAGACTTTCTTCCAGACCTGTACTAGAGCCTCCGACCGAAAAATTTGCAGCGATCCGCAACACTTGCTTTTCAGCTTGTGTATGACTTAGCATGTGATGGCCCGGGTCTAGGGACATATGACTATGGAAGTTGATGAACGTGGTGACCTCCCACACAAGACGAACGAACAAGAATCGTGACACTTGTGGTGGTAGTCACGCCTCGAGAACTGGCTTTCGATGAGCCCAATGCCCAAAGCGGAGTTGACTGCGAACTATAGACATATATGCTCTCGGGTCCCGGGCCGCCACCCCCCCCCCCCCCCCCCCCCCCCCCCCATGGTACCCCCCCCCCCCCCCAACGCCCTGCCGCCCTGCTGCTGCACGCCCACCTGCCCTGCCCGCCCCGCCGCCCCCGGCCCGCACCTTGCCTGCCCCTTGACCTTGTGCGCGGATCGGGAGTGTCGCACTATGCCCTGCCGTGTGCGGAAAGCGGCATCTGACGTGAATTGCAATGCTGAATTATGAGGGTTGTATTGCGATGGTGATGGTGGCAGATCTTTTTTTTGAAGGTATGAATGATGAACATGACGACGACAAGGATGATGTTGAGCATGGTATGATCGTCGACTCATGTCCCGGTCTAGAGCAGCACAACATCATGAGCAGTATCACCGGTGCCACAACAAGAGGGAAGACAAGGAGTAACACATAAGAACGTCGTGGCAAAAAGAGTACCACCACAGGCCCCACACCACAGGGGGGGCGGGGGGGAAGGGGGGAGGATGCCATGGGGTGGGGGGGGGGGAGGGGGGGTGTGGCAGCCCTGCATCATATATGTATGTAAGCATGCTTGTATGTATGTACGCATGCATGCATTTGCATATGTATGCATTTGTGTATGTATGTAGGTACATAAGTAAGTAAGTCTGTAAGTCTGTATGTATGTATGTATGTCTGTATTTGTGTATGTATGTGCGCATGTATGTGTGCATGTATGTATGTATGTGCATATAAATATATACAGGCACATAAGTATAATTACACATCTATAATTACACACATGCGTGTGTGTGTGTGTGTGTGTGTATTGTATGCATACGCGCCAGAAGGCGCCAAGCCTAAACCTGTATATCTTATACAGCTTCTTCCATGACTTGTTCATTCTATGAAAGCTTAAACGATTAGCAATGCTGATCCCTGATAGTTCCTGTATAGCTCTACTATCATATAGCCTAAGAAACCTCATTGTAAGCCTGACGCCCTGTTCTGCATTGCAAGGCCTTTGTAATACCTGTGTCAAAGCTGCCCGCGACCTCAAGGTGAAATTCTCCCAGTCGGCCCTGGAGGAGTTCGGAAAGCAAGAGCGGGAAGGCCTTGCCCAAGCCCCCCCCCGCCATAGGTTTAGGGTTTGGGGTTTAGGGCCTTTTAAATCCCCCCCAGCTCCCCCCCCAGACGCGCACCTCAAATCTTATTTAAGCCGTAGTTGGCACTTCAGGCTTTTGGGTTTAATGTTAACTCAGGGCCAAAAAGATTTGTAGTTCGGGCTGATGCGCAAAGCCTTCGAGCTCCAGGCTAGGCTATACTTTGGGTACGGCCCCCACTCAGTAACAGTTGGATTATATTCATAATATAGATGCATAAGGCCCTTAATCGTATATAGCCCTATCATAAACTGTTACTGTATGGGGGCCGTACCCAAGCTATACTATCCCCCCCAAGAGCCTAAGCCCTGAGCCCACGTAGTCTGCACCCCCGACTGCATCGACCCGGAAGGGACGAAAATTGCCCAGAAGATCAAGCAGCACTTGGATGAAAATCACAAGCCGCCATCCGGCTGCAGGGAGTTCCGGTGGAGATCTCTGATTTGTGGGAGTTTAGAGTCTTGCATTAGCGACCTTGTAATGTTGAATCCCAGCAGCCCCACGTAGTCGCTGATGTCAATGGCATATTATGAGTCAAACCCACTGGGGTTATCTTGTTGTACGCGGCTGGTTTACAGTTACCCGAAGGATCAGAGGCCTATAAGCTACTTTTTGAAACAGTGGGATTATGCGTGGGACAACCCGACCGGGTACGTATATAAGTTTGCCTGCAGCCATCACGGTCCAAGGCATAAACGAGCCTGAACGCTGAAGCCCTAAACTCCTGAAAGCCTGAGTCAGGGTTGAAAGATTCTTGGAGGGTCGGGGGACTTAGTAACTGGTTATTCGAGGGACTTATAAGTGCCATAAACCCCAATTAGGGTCCCTTTTAGGGTACTTATAAGTCTACTTACTACCTACTTACTAAGTCCCCCGACCCTCCAAGTTCCGGATATTCTGGACTGCAGAGGAATTCGGGAGGCGGCTTTCGGGGTTGAGCCGATGCCTAACATGTGCAATTCCCTAAATTGGGCTCCCTTTTTAGGAACCCAAAAGAAAGCGACACCCTAATAACAGGCTTTTAAGGGGACCTATTTCAAGAACTACCCATGTTCTAGCGTTCCGACACCACAAAACCCTACTCTGATGATTCAGGCCAGAAGGTTCTAAATCGTGAAGCCCCTGACCCTAAACCCTAAAGCCCAAAACCCCATATCCCAAAACCCCAAACCCTACACCTTGAACCCTAAAGCCCACAACCTAACCCTACCCGTGGAATCCGAAACCCGCTTTCTCACAGAGGTGTCAATAGACGCCCTCAGCTCTGAACACTCAGCCGGATGGTTGTCAAAATTTTGGTCCCTTTTTGGCAACCTAAACAGTAGGTGACGTATGAAAATAAGGACCCTAAACCCTAAACCCTAAACCCTAAACCGTGACAACCACCCAACCCCAAACCAAGAAGCCTTCAGCCCTAGGCACTCCCAAGGGAAGGTCTTGGCCAGGGTAAAATGCCCAAGCCCTACTTGGAGGTTCATGGGTAGTTATAAGTGGGGTGATAAGTCCCCTATTATGGGTTATAAGTATAGTTATCCTACTTATAACCTTACTTATAGCTACCCATGAACCTCCAAGTAAACCCATTGAGGTACTGGCATGTCACCATCGGGAAGAACTTTGGCTGCCACGCCGTGCACGAGAAGCAGCGCTTCGCACGTGTCTAAGAGTTCAGGGCTCCACATGGTAGTTTCCGAAAAGGGGGGGTACCTTTTTTTTGGGGTCCTTATAATAAGGATCCTACTAAAGAGGGTACTAGATCAGGGTCCCCTGTTTTCGGAAACTCCCACATCAGGCTTTCACAAGGGTTGTATGAGAGTCTTGGAATGACTTTTTGGGTGCCGGGGGTGAGGGTTATGTGTACTTCGAAAATGCTAATCTCTGAGAAACCCTAGAAGGCAATCGAAGTGAACATTAGGAGCAAGATGGGCACAAAATCTGAAACCCAAGAAAAGGATTCCTAAACGCTTGGGGTTGAGGGACCAGGCGTTGGGAGTCCAGGACTTTCCAGAGCTTCTTAGGGTTTGGGGTTTAGGAAAGTTGAGCCGTGGGTTGTAGCTTCTAGGGTTTGAGGGTTTAGGGTTTTAGGGTTTTAGGGCTTTTGTTCAGGATTCAATATCTGTCCGGGGCAGAGCTCACTCGTGACTGAACCCTCCAAACATTCGAGCATCAGGCTTGCAGTTCTCTGCTCGCGTAGCGTAGGGGTTCAGCTGGGGAGCTTTGGATATGAAGCAATGTACCCTAAACCCTAAACCCTACACCCCAAACCGGTGCAGGTCAACTTTTAGAAGCACCCTAAACCCTAAACCCTAAACCGATGTTGGGATCAATGATGGATAGAATATGGCGGCTTAAGCTGTTGCGCATGTTGCATCTTTCCAAGACATCGTTGTTGTGCAGTCCTGAAAGCCTAGTCTTAGTACTCTTGGGCCGCCAGCAGGGATCTGGCAGTTCCTCAAATCTTTTCTGCCCCCAAACCCTAAAGTCTGAATCGTGTATATGAGGCACACCCCGAAGGCCAACAACCAACAGTCGCACCTTAAAAACCCTCAGCCTGGCTTGATCATTGCCGGGCTTTATGGCTGCATCGCCGGTGCTTGATTTGCAACTCAAAGTGGCCTACCCAAACCGATGACCCCAGCAGCAGACGTAGGCAACACCCGAACCCCTGTATCCTAAACGCTAAACCCGAAACCCTTTGATCCTAAGCCCTGTGCAGTGAGCCCAAGCCGCCAAACTGAAACCCTTTCAGCCTTGAACCCTTCAGCTCGACGCCCTAAACCCTAAACCCTAAACCCTAAACCCTAAACGCTGAAAGCCCCAGAGCCTGGAAGCCGCCTCCCAAAGAAGGGAGCCTTCTGTATCACCCGGCAAATAGCCCTTCATGACCGAACCCCTCCATGACCCCCATAATCCATTTAAATATCATCTTGACATGCTTACAAAACATCCCATAAAATGCAATCCTTCCAAAAAAGAACAAAATGCTTCAACCCCTAAAAGCCCCTAGCAAAGCAACACAAGCCTTATAAAAATCCTTAGAGCGCCATGGCTTTCCGGCTCCTGAGCGGCGAAGCCGTGGACTGCGAGGGCCGGCTTGGGTCGCTCGGCGGTTTTTTTTCATTTATTGAGGGGGGTGTGTTGGGCCTTTTAGCGTGTTTAGGGTTTTTGTAGAGGGCTTTACGGCTTTCTAGGGCTTTCAGGTATGTTGTTAAGGAGGTTTTTGGAGCAGGGTGTTGAGAGGTTTTAGCTTTACGGGTTCAGGGTTTAGGGTTTTTTCGGTTGTTTTGGGGTTCTAGAAGGGTTCTAAGGGGGGCTTCAACAAGCCCGATACGCGGCTCTAGGAGAGGTTTCTGCCGGGATCGTGCTGGATTTGGGGGTTTTAGGGGTTTTCGGGGTTTTAGGTCTCCGCTGCTCACAAAGGTCGTCGCGAATGAATGAGCAATGGTTAACTCCGAAGTCTACCTACAAGGAGGACAAGGCTAGAATAGAGGCCTGAGTAATTAGGAACAGTATCCTTTTATGGTGGTGTCGAGAAGACACTTTGGACAACGGTTTCGGGGGCAGCATGGCTTTAAAGACACAGGTCATGTCAGTTGGCAGCAGCTGACAAGCTAGTTGCCTCTCAACAGATTCTGCTATGGATGACTCCATCGGAGACCCCTAAGGCGATACAGGCCTCAGAGTGCAGTGAACTGTTCGACCCTACGAGAGCGAGCTGCTGGATCTCCGCCCAACACTAGCCAGGTAAGTTTGCAGAACCTGCATTCTTCTTGAAAGCCATGATTTGGTTCCTGTCAGCTGTGTAAGCAATTTGACGATTTTGCAGGTTCTTTCTTGCAGTTCCACTTCGGTTTGTTTTTGAGAAGAAGTTGATGGCTCAATAAACCAAATCTTGGCCCGCAACTCCTTGTTCACTTCAGGTTGAAGCGACAACTGTGGGTTCCGGTTTTGACGAAGTGTAGCACTAACAAACTTTGACACCGAATAGCTCTAGTTCTTGCTTGGTTGGGAATACTCATGCAGTGTTCTGGCATCGACGGTCAGAACAGGTTCGAAGACATTGTGAGGCCAACAGATGTGTCGCAGATCGACTTAGAAGCAACAGACCGGCCTAGCCCCGCCGGCAGCACTTGGTTCTCCGTTCGTTGGAGCTCAGAGCTCCCCCGAAATTGTGTGAGTCACATTGATGCGTCCCATTCACGGCAACCTTTAGCACAAGGCGACACATTGCTGCGCTATGAAGTGAACGCCGTGATGACCAGCCATGAAACTTTCGGCTTCTGAAGACAAGCTTCAAAGTGCATAGCATACACACATTCATGGAGGGAGCTTCAGAATTCCACCTTTTTCTCGCTGTGCACAAGCAGTTTCCAGCAATCAAGGCAGCCCGTTGCAAAATGCATGGGCTGCCTAAACGATCAGCAGCACAGGGTTTCGTATCAGGAAACAGCTGCAGAGCACTAGCCACTAGTAAGCTGCTGGAACTAGAACTAATCTCTGTAAGCCAGCGAATTCTTTAATATTGCTGTTGCATCGAACGAGCAAACAAACTTTGCGGCCTTCCCGTCCATGCAAGAAGAACAACACTGGTGACAGTCATGGTTCTGCGGCTGTTTGTGAATGTGTCTTGCAAGAGCTTGGGGGTGGTAGGTGTCATTTTGCAGCCTAGACCTAAAGTCTAGCCCCCCAACCCTCAGCCGAGTCCCAAGGCCACTGGGTGAAGTGGTGCCGGTGGCGGAAGCTCGCGAAGCCCTGGCACAGCAGCTGGACGTGGAGCGGGACAGGGCTTCTCGGCACCGCCTGTCACCCGCCAGGGAGACAGGTTGAAAGGTTGAGGGTTCAAGGTGATTTCGGACTGTCAGGCTTCGGTTCGTCGCAGCTTCTGATTCTGGGCCTGCTGTTGCGGTTGAGGACTTTGGAATCATAGTTTGTGGTTTTTGGTCGCGGGACGGTGCAACCGAAAAGTCCTTATTGAGTAGCCTTATTGTGATTTTGATGATGGTGATGATGAATATGATAATGAAGATGGTGGTAATGTTGATGCTGATAGTGGTGATGGTGGTGTTGTTGTTGACGATGATGTTGATGGTGGTGGTGATGGTGTTGGTGATGGTGGTGGTGATGGTGATGGTGATGGTGATGGTGATGGTGATGATGGTGCTGTCGGTGATGATAATGATGGCGGCGATGATGGTGTTGTTGATGATGATGTTGTTGATGGTGGTGATGGTGGCTATGATGGCGATGATGAGGACGGTGATGGCGATCGTGATGATGATGGCGGGTTAACGTGGTAGAAGTTGCGCCAACCTGTTGTGGTTCCGTCTCTTGCCAAGAAGATGATTATTTGCCTTGCCTTTTTCTGATCAGTTGAACATAGATCTGTATGCTATGGCATCATGGTGATGTTAAGCAGTATTCCCACAGTTTATTTGCATCAGTGTGATCGACGTCATCTAAGCCCCATATTGTCAGCATTCCAATCGTCGCTTTAGCAGGTTCGATTAGTCTGCTCGACGCATGCAGAGCTCCAGGACACCCGGGTGCTGTGTTTTCAGTTAACGAGAACGGGGCCTTGGGTATATGATCGTATAAGTGTACAGTATACGCGAATTATAATGGGGATGTCGTTATTTTCAGTCGTGTGGGAGAGTGGTTTTGTAGTTAAGATGCCCCAGCGCTCTGGTCAGCTTTGGGCTAAGAGGTTATAAGTAGGGTGTCTATACTTACAGCTTGTATCAGCGGCTTCAAAAGCCCCCACTAATAAACTACCTATGAACCTCCACGAGGACCGCAAATCAACGCCTGCGGACCGAAGGACCTAAACCCTCGAACCTACTAGTCCCAATCCCACCAAGCCTTCCGCCTCAGTAAACCTGCAGAAAGCAGTCTAAAGACTTCATAGAAGGGTTTAGATACCAGTAGTAAGAAAACTAAGTACTTGAAGCTCGGGGCATCGTTGTGCTCACACTTGGAACTTTTTCATCCGGCGTACCTCGGTGATGAGTAGTCCACCAAGATTGGACCAAGATGAACCTAAGTCAGGTTTGGGGTTTAGGGAGGACGGATCACTGAGTTCTTCACCAAGTGCGCACGATTGGGAATTTAGGTTCAAAACTCATATCGTTTGTCTTCGGGTTCAGGTACTGAGTTCTCTCTTCGGATCCCAACCCATTTAGAATAAGGACGTCGGCTCATGTTGGTGTCCTTGGCTGCAGGATGGCGATAGCCTGGTGCTGGCAGACAGCTGCACTTTGACTGCCCACTACTTGGAGGGTCGGGGGACTTAGTAAGTAGTTATTTTATAAAGTTATAAGTATCATAACCCCAATTAGGGTCCCTATTAAGGTACTTATAAGTCTATATCATAACTACTTACTAAGTCCCTCGACCCTCCAAGTATAGAGTTTGGGGTATCAGCGTCCAAGGTTTTGGGTTACTTGAAGGTTCATGGGTATATTATAAGCGGGGCTTATAACGCGAAATTTCAGTTTCATAGAACGCCTGTAAACCCGATAGATCCTTTGTCCGAATCCGTTAGTCAGCCTTCTGCTTGTCTTGGTTTCTTGGGGCCCCTTCATTACATTGAGTATGGCAAAGTATAGAACCCAAGACAGACCTTAGCAACCCCACCCCCGTTCCAAACCGCTTTTCTAATTGTCCTATTTCTTTGATGCCCGTACTCCCTAAACCATCCAATCCGTCAACCTTACCCTACATCCTAACTCCTAAACCCTATACCTTCGTTAGTCCCAAGCCTTCACGGCGCCACTTCGCTATAATCTTAAGCCTTCAGCCCAAATTCTTATCCCGGAAATCCTTAATCTCTCAACACTGAACCCCTCGTCTAAAGTTTGAAGCACAAAAAGTTCTAACATAGATTCCGTCTTATGCTTACACTATAAGGGAGCCCAAACCCTTATTCTATGTAATTGCAAAGCCGCCCACACTAAACCCTTGTAGTAACCTTCAATGGAACCTTAAAGTAGCCCTGTAACGGAACACTATTCTAATCATTAAGGCCCCTACATCACGCTAAACTCGAAACCCTAAGCCCAAACTCTAAACCCTAAACCCTAAGCCCCAAGTTCCAACATTTCAATTTTTCCCAGGTGCCACAGTGCAGCTTTTGCCGGATCCCTTAGAGGCCGAGCTCGCCGCGGCGCTGGACCTGGAGCATTTTGAGGATGCACTGGAGGCCGGGTTTATGGGCTTGGGGCTTGGGGTCTGAGGTTTAGGGTTTAGGGTCTAAGGTTTAGGGGCTTCGGGTCTAGGGTTTGAGATTTAGGGTTTAAGGTTTAGGGTAGGTTTGGGGTTTAGGGTCTGAGGTTTCGGCTTTAGGGTTTGAGGCAGAGGTTAAGGGTTTATGGTCTAAGGTTGGGGGTGAAGGGTTTAGCGTCTGAGGTTTAGGGAGTAGAGTAGAGTTTAGGGTTTCGGGTTCAGGGTTCAGGGTTTGGGGTTCTGGGCTTCTTTTGCTAAGGTGAGGCCACAGGGCGTCAAAGCTGTTTGCGGGGGTTGGACATGCTGTTGCACAACTTTAATGTTTGTAGATGTTTGCTACAAGGATCATAAGATGTTGAATGGGCAGACCTCACGAACACACCGACGCAGAGCTTTTTATCCGAAGCGGGCATCACCCACCAAATCATGGAGTCCCCGAAGCCGAAGCTGTATGGCCGCCTTGGGCACCAAAGCCGAAGTCACGGTGATCCGTTAGGTCCCTCACCTCCTCTTATAAGGCACCCTAAGAAGGAAGCAATAGAACCCAGAGCCTCCAAAACCCCTTAATTAAGGAATATACCTTAAATTATAGTAGAGTCCCTAATATGATTTTAAGGTATATTCCTTCATTAAGGGGTTTTGGAGGGTCTGGGTAGAACCGCCCACCCCAAAGTCTCCGAACCCTCATCCGCCGGACTCTCGACCCTTAGGGTTGAAGCTTTAGCTACTATTTGCTTAAGAACCCCCCAAAAAATAAAAAATGATAATCCCTACATAATCCCTATAAGGAATATATTTTTTTATTTTTTGGGGGTTCTTAAGCAAATAATAGTTAGGCTTCAGGTTTAGGGTTGAGGGTTCAATTCTCATATGGGTGGTTCCCTTTTTGGGTCCTTACTATTATACGGCACCTAATATTTAGGGTACCCAAAAAGGGACCATAATTTTGACAACCACCCATATATCCGAAAATTCGATCCGTTCAGCCCTAAATCCCTGGACGCGGCTGAGATGGAGAGCCTCCAGATCCGTGGCACTACGCTGACACTCGTGGCTTTATGAGGTCGTTTGGGTTTTGCAGGCTTGTGGCTTTACGGTCGAGGTTTAAGGGTTGAGGCTTCAGATCCAAAATCTTATCCTGTTGCTCGTAGCTAGCGACGACTTCTGGCTTTAGTTTTCCAACCACTACCACGACAACGGCGAAATCGCCCGCGACTGGAGCTACTAGAAGAGGGAGCATGGCTAGCTAAATACACTAGTACCAGGGATGGTGGTACGACCTGCCCTGCGTAGCAGAAAAATTAGGACAATAAGCCTTCCCGCTCATTGTACTTTTCCTTTTCCTCCTCCTCCTCCGCTAAGCCCTAAAGCCTACCTAAACTCCTAAACCTTAAACGCTAAACCTTAAAACCTAAACCCAGTATTGCCGCTGTCCTCTTGGGGTAATTGTCGGTCTGCAAAAAGTCAGCGCTGGTATTCCCTTTTTCTTATAGACTTACTGTCGCTATAACCCCAGAACCCTGTTCGAGTTGCGAATCCCCTTGTGTTGTTCAGGATTTAGGATCTGGACGGCTTTCGAGTTTGGGTGAAGGGCTCCGAGCCACGACTTTTGAACGCAAAACCCTGAACGGTTACCGTCTTGGGCTGTGAGGTTGTAGCACAAAATATGCGATGCTTGTCGGTTCGGGGTTTGCGCTTAGGGTTTCGGGTTCCGTGGACTCGAAGCAAGATCACGGGACATGTTGATGATCACGACATGCTGTGATCTGTGCACCCCCTAAACTGCTAGATCAACCCGCCATTCTGACAACCCGTTCCCAAATGTTCCGCAGCCAGAATCCAAGAACCCAAATCCCCGACATTCCTGCACTAACGCTATCCACCGCGGTCCCAGGAGTGACGTCCTGAGCGGCATATCATCATTTTAGAACCCGTGATCCAAGGACTGACCTACCAAGAGGCATCGAGAAGTTGCAGAAGCTGAAGCAAGTGCTTCTGCCACTTGGCTTAATGCTGCCCCCCCCAAAATATTACACTCTGAACAATTTAGACTCTGAACCGTCAAACCCTAAAAGCCCGGCGCCCGAAACTCCGATGCCTCCTCTGATCATCCAAGGATATCCAAAGACACCATCATGTTGGTCTCCATCCCAAACACTCCGCCTGAGCCCTGAGCCACGAAGCTAAGCACTCTAAACCCAAACCCCTGAACCCTCATGAGCCAGCCCTCCGCTCGAACCCCCTACAAACGCTTCACAGCCACCGAGGACCTCTAACAAGTTGCAGGAACTTCCTGCAAAGATCGGAAACCTGGTCGCTCGGTGGTATTGATTCTTCCGTTTTGTTGGGCGTCGATAGGTTTACTTGAAGGGTCAGGGGACTTAGTATGCAGGGTTATAGGTCAGGCAGGTATGATGCTACAAGTTTTAACCTGAATTTTCGTTAAGAGTCTTACATATTCAGGCAGCTGTCGCGCTCCCGCCACAGCTCCATGCTGATTTTTTGGAGCACGGCAGGTTCTCCATGTGCGAGAAATGACGTTGACCCACATTTTTCGAAGGCCGCGCTTGCATCCGCTGCATTTCCATGAGCTATAGTGTTGGGCCGGCCTCTTGGTGCAATCGCCAACTCGCAAGGCACACAGGCTCTCTGGAAACTACCGAAACTAGAACGCAAGCTGCCAATGCGACACTTAACCAGAAACCCAGACAGCCGTGTGAAGCCCTAAACCCAAGACCCTAAACCTTAAACCCTAAACCCAAGACCCCTAAACTCTAAACTTCTAGAAGCTGCTCTCCGGCCGCCCAGGGAGTCTTGGAGGACTTGCGTGTGGATGCGAATCTGCCCCTCGGAGGAGTTCCCCAAAACGTTTAAACTTCATGTCAAAAAACATTAAAAACTTCCTGCCGGGGGTTTCTGCTAGTCATTGTGGGACTCGGGGCCAGATTTTGTAGTTAGGAAAATCTAGAAGAGTCTAGGAGTTAGGATTTAGTGTTTAGCGTTTGGGGTGGGGTCGGGGTGACTTAGTAGGTAGGTCTGTTTGAGATCATGCAATGCAAGGTTTCCTTGGTCGCCCCGATCCCCTCGACTTGAACATCACAATAACTGATAGCGGCATGCCGTTGCATTTCTTATGCAGTTACAGTCAGTGTGATATGATTTCCCCGAACCCCGCTGCAATAATTAATTGAGGTGCTCGTATTAGCTCAGGAAGTAATCTGAAAGCTACAGGAAGTAGTCGTACAAATTTTGCCCAACACCATCACATGGGTTGTTCTCTAGATTAAGGTCGCGTTTTAGGTCCCCCAAATAGTATGGGGACACCAAGCGGATCTAATTTAGAAAGTTACCGACATGCTTGAAGCACAAAACGCGGAAGCCACAGCCCTATTGTGCTGGTAAAAGTTTTCCGGGCCTGTCCTTCAAGTCTCGAGGTTTAGGCAGTTGTCGAGGTAAAGGTACAGGTTCTAAAGCCCAAATCCCAAACCTGTAGACCACAAGTCCTGCACCGCAACTCTTAAACCGTAGACCCTAAACCCTTTTGAGTGTTGAGACCCGGGCGGTTTTGGTAGGCCGCTGGCCGTCGTGTGCGTGTGTGTGCGTAGATCTCGGGTTTTGGGATTACGGTTTAAGGTTTATAGCAGATATTGGCAAGGGTTGCTTTCGTGTGTAAGCAGCGCAAATTATGTCAAATAGCCCGCGAATGTCTAACACACGGGGGCAGGGGTGGGGCGGGGGGGACGGGCTCGCGCTGCATCAAATTTCAAAGCCGGTGTGGTCAAATAGTCAAGACTAGGATCTCCAGTAGTACCCTTATTCCCTTTTTGTAGTCCTAGGTTCCTTATAAAGTTACCCAATACCAAAAAGAGAGGCCTTTTTATTCTAAGGTTACTGGGTATCCTAGAAGAGGCAGGGGGCGGGATACCCCAGCCTTGAGGAGGGGATCAAGAGGAGGGGAAGCACGGGGTCTTCACAACATGTACCCTCAAAGCACTGTTCCATTTACAGTGTTCAGGTCACCTTTGTAGGTCATGTGGTTGAATCAATCTGGTTTACTCGCAAAGCCACTAGCTCAGTGATGGGAACAGGTTTTTGGGGGTGTATGATAGTCTCCTTATAGAGGGACTATAAGGGGCATTGCCCCTTCGATCCCGTTTTCTTGGCCCCAGCTTTTGCAGACCTCTCTCTCCTCGATTTGTGAGTTTCCGGAAACGCAGGGACCCTAATGTAGTACCCTAAATAGCAGGATCCTTTTTGTAAGGACACCTAAGTACACCCTAATTTTCCGAAACTCTAGACCCTGAACCCTTTATAGAACCCTTACAGATCCCTTTAAAGGATCCCTTTAAAGGATCCCTAAGGTACCCCTAATCTTCGGACGAAAGTCCCCCGGAGATTTCGCTGCATGGAAGCCTGCTCCAAGGCTCCTCTCGCTTCCAAGCAGCATTGGCAACTTGGAGGTCATTTAGGGTTTAGGGTTTAGGGTTTAGGGATCTTGGGTTTAGGGATCTTGGGTTTAGGGTTTAGGGTTTAGGGTTTAGGGATCTTGGGTTTAGGGTTTAGGGTTTAGGGTTTTGGGTTTAGGGTTTAGGGTTTTGGGTTTTGGGTTTTGGGTTTAGGGTTTTGGGTTTAGGGTTTAGGGTTTAGGGTTTTGGGTTTTGGGTTTAGGGTTTAGGGTTTAGGGTTTAGGGTTTAGGGTTTAGGGTTTTGGGTTTAGGGTTTTGGGTTTAGGGTTTTGGGTTTAGAGTTTAGGGTTTAGGGTTTAGGGTTTTGGGTTTTGGGTTTAGGGTTTTGGGTTTAGGGTTTAGGGTTTAGGGTTTAGGGTTTTGGGTTTAGAGTTCAGGGTTTAGGGTTTAGGGTTTTGGGTTTAGGGTTTTGGGTTTAGGGTTTAGGGTTTAGGGTTTTGGGTTTAGGGATCTTGGGTTTAGGGTTTAGGGATCTTGGGTTTAGGGATCTTGGGTTTAGGGTTTAGGGTTTAGGGTTTCGCATGTTCGCTGCACCTTGCTGATGGCAGCATGTTATTGAAGCGTGTTGTAGCACAATATCCAGACCCCTACACCCTAAACCCCGTCAAAAAAAATACTGAGCCCTAAGCTCTGCACCCTAAACGGAGTGTACCTCCGCGAAAGCGTTTCGGGCTTCAGCTTCTTGATCCTTGAAGAGGATCTCGGATAGAGCGTATGTTCGAGCATCAACAGTTGTGATCGTACGTTCCGCGCATGCTTCCTAAAACCACAAAGTTCAATGCCCAAGCCCAAACCCCAAGTCTGAATCCTTGACCCTAATCCGCGAACCCTAGTCCCTGAATGTCAAACCCTAGTGGGATTTGGATGAAGTGCTGCCGCAGCATGTCCCTAAAAGCAACAACTGCCCACCCCTCTGGCACGAAGTCCTCAGCGCCACACGCCCGTTCCCTGAATGTTGAGCTCAAGTTTCCCCAAAACCCACACCAACGCCCTCAAAGGTTGAAGTTTTCGCGTTCGGCCTCAGAAGAGCATCTGAGTGACTAAGCACGGCCAAGATTCGGCAGTTTCACTCTAAACTCGAACCCAAGCCTCCTACGCCCTAAACAACCAGATCGCAAGGCGTAGTCAGCACCCCAAGTCCCGAAACCCATGAAACAGAACCCTGAACCCAATGACTCTGTAGAAGCGTTATATAACCCCCTGTAGCCCCCTCATAGAACCCTTGCGGAATCCACTAAATGCTCTGTCAGCTACCTTATACTCGCCCGTATCGTAGGCCTTTTTACAAACGTTAAAGGAACACCAGAAACGACCAGTAAAGGAGCCCTTGAAGCCCAACAACCACCCTAAAACCCTGCCTGTAAAGGCAGGCTAGGGTGCTCCCTGGACACATCGCACCTGAAAAAACGCTAAACCCTACACCCTCGGAAAAGGGCCCTTAAAAAAACCCTAAACCCTGAAAAATGCTTCAAGGCAACCTACAGGGCTTGCTGGAGCTTCATCTGGGGGACAACCTCCTCGGCGGCTCGGCCATGCACTCGTCTATAGGGCCTCCAGCAGCCAAGAAAAATTTAATGTTAGATCTCAGAGTCACAGTCAATCATACCGATCGTTTATGGCAATGTTCGGTGAAAGTGATCATACTGAGAATCGTGTGAGCAATATACATCAAAACAGTGTTCATTAAAGTTCATTATGCGTACGATTATTGTTAAAATCCCGTCTACTGTCAGAACTAAACTTCTTAGTATCTTACTATACAGTCTATCATCATTGCCCGTATCATTGCCATCATCCTGATAGCTATCATTATGGTTATCACTGGCATTATCATGTTAATTGCCATCATTATTGCTATCATTTTGAATGCTGTGATTATATTGGTTCTCATTGTTCGTATTACTACTATTATTGTTATGCTTTGAAATAAGAGGTTGGGCTGGTACAGTATTGTAAGGTTGCTATGAGGTGTTATAAGAGTTGAAAAGCGGTGCAAATGGTTCCACCATGTCACCCTAAACACCAAAAATAAGAAGGGTTTGCGAGTTCATCAACCACAACGCCCTAACCCGGAGACCGTGACCCCTCAAACCCCGAACTGGCATTTGCCCTAAACCCTGATCCATCATAGATCAATAGCTGGAGCCTTCCAACCCCACGTCCCGAAGCTGCTTGCAGAACTCTCTCTCTCTCTCTATCATGTAGATATACATACCTACGTACATACCTTGCATACACACATGTATGCATGTATACATGTATGTATGCATACATGTATGTTTGTATGTATGTATGAAATAGAGGGACCTATATAAGTACCAATACTATTTTGGAGTTCCCTGCCTGAATTATATTCCCCAAAAACTTATTCTAATTATTCAGGCCCCTCTCTTCCCTAGGTGGGTAGGTAAACATCGACAGGATCGCTGCCGAGCGCAATCGGTCGTCTCGCGCAGTTGCAGACGCCACGTAGCTCAGAATCTGGACCCAGGGCTGGCTAGCCTCATTTTTCGCGAAGTTTCTACGAGGGTGGTTTAGGGTTTGGGGTTCGGGTCTTGGGCGTTTTGGGTTTGAGGGGTTAGGGTTTAGGGTTTAGGGTTTGCGGTTTGGGTCTTGGGCGTTTTGGGTTTGAGGGGTTAGGGTTCTCAAGAAAGGGCTCCATGAAGGGATTTAGAAGGGTCTGATGTCCGCTCAGAGGCTCAGGCACCGAAAAAGTAAGGGTCTCCCTCCGGGGTAGGAGCTTTGAAGGTCCTATAATAAGGTCCTTATAACAGGGAGCATAGCCAACGCACAGTCTCTTGTTTGAGATCTTATACCTATTGCTAGTAGTAGTCTGAAACTTTAAGCTGCATGCTTTCAAGTTTTAGTTTAATTTATTTGGCAAGTGCACGCCATGATTGAGGAACGACGAGACTCCGATTCAGAGTTTCAAGGTTCTGAGCAGGTTCAAGGGCAATCTTGAAGGGAACCTCAAGACCGTCTTAGCAGAAGAGAGTCTTTACTTAGGCGGCACCTGTAAGAGATGGGACTCAGGTCTTACGCTTCCCGGCCTTCGGGTTTCAGGGCCCCTAACCATACTGATTGTGTTTTGGAATTCACGGGTTTAAGCACCGTGCTCCGAGTACATGCAGCAGTGCAGTGAATCTAGCCAGCACGGAACAAGCAGGTAGAGACACTCGTAACTGAAGAAGTCTACAAATAGCTGCTGCCTGCAATGGAAGATACGTGCTGCACTATTTGAGCGGCTAAGGTCCATGGCAGAATACACCTAGACCACATTCCAAGTACTAAGGCCCCTACTTGAGTGGCGCTTCATTGTTGCTCTGATGTGGGCTATTCAAGCCTAAGGAGAGGAGGAATTCCTTGCTGAAAGGTTTGACTAGGCCCTAAACCCGAAACCTTAAACCCCCTAAGCCCTAAACCCCTAAGCCCCTACACCCCTGAACCCTGAACCCTAAACCCTGAACCCCTAAACCCCTACACCCCTGAACCCTGAACCCTAAACCCTGAACCCTTAAACCCTAAACGCGTCAGGGCTTTTAGAAACTGGGGCCTTCAAGGCTTCGAGCTGCAGAGGGCTGTACGGCCTAGTGGCTTAGCACTTCCAAAGACCGCCTTTGAAGTTGATTGAACGGGTTTAGGGTTTAGGGTTTAGGGTTTAAGGTTTAGGGTTTAGGGTTTAGGGTTTAAGGTTTAGGGTTTAGGGTTTGAACATATTGAAGAACCAGCCTTAAACCCTAAACCGCAGAACCGAGGTTGAACTTGTTGAAGAACCAGCTCACGGAGTTACCGGACCGCCATGGCAGCTGACCGGCTTTTGCAGTTTGTAGAGTTTGGGGTGTAGGGTTTAGGGTATTAGACTTTTTGGTTTCGGGTGTAGGATTTAGGGTTTAGGGTTTCAGAGAGCCGCATACTTGGTTCTAATTTCGCAAGCGAGGGTTAATGTTACTTACAACCCACCCGCACAGCTCGCCGGCCCACCAAGCACCCCTCAGGCTTCGGGTGGAGCTTGTACAGTTTACAGGGCTTAGGCGGCGAAGTGATTGGGGTTTGGGGTTTAGGAGTTGGGCTTGCAACAGCCTATCCAAAGCCGCACGCCGAACTCAAAAGAGCTTTCTAAAACCCAACCCGCAAGTTAAAGTTTCAGTTTGGAACTTTAACTTGCGGGTTGGGCTTATAATAGAGGTGACCCCTAATCTGTAAATCCGAACACATCAACACATCTCACCCATACATCAATCGCGCGGCCTGAGCCTTACATGCAATACCCCAATACCTCGAAATGCCTGAACCACTCCCCAAGCCCTCAGGACTAAACCCGAAGCACCTTGTGCTTGCTTAGGAGGTTCAGGCAGACGCAAAAAATACCCGAAACCCTACATCCTGAACCCTGATCCCTAAACCTTGAGCTTGAAGCCCTAAATCCCGCACGCTTTAAGATCGCAGCGAATACCGAAAGCCTACAACATCCGTGTAGAACCCTTCAACTAGGACCCAGAGTAGGCCCTCATTCCATTTTTTTAGGGTTTAGGTTACCTTATAACTTTCGTTAAGCCAAAAAGGGCACCTTTTTTGCTCCTAGGTTACTCTTAGGTCTAATCAAAAAACCCACAGCCTGTGTAAATGCTGCTACGTCTTGTGGAGGACACCATCGGAGACCTGCGCTCCCTGAAGAAGCTGCAGCTGGGCCCCCTGGCTTCTCCAGCGACTACTTGGAGGTTCCTGCGTAGTTATAAGTAGGGTTTATAAGCGGTTAGTATACTTTAGTCACTGTACTGTAGTCGTAGCGGACTTATAACCCCAGTTGCAACTACCAACGAACCTCATAGTGGGGGCCAGCGTGTGTTTAGTGTTCACTATTGGTACATGTTTGGTAAGGGCCGATACAAGTAGATGGCTAGGTGGCATGTATCGGTGAGTGCTTGGTCCCGCCGTGGTTCGCTGGCTCGCTGTTTCATTTCTTTTCTTGTCTGTGCACGTCTGTAAGATCAGGGTCATGTCAAGAACTTGCTGCGACATCAGAAGAGTCACCTAAACCCTAAACCCTAAACCTAAACCGTAAATCCCAAAGTAACCCGGAAAGCGAAACTCTGATCCCTAAACTCGAACTGGAGAGGTTCAAATCGGCTGCGCGTGCTGCCGGAAAGCGTGGGACAGCTCGTGAACTTGCAGGACTGCGGTCGCTCCCGCGGTAGGGTTTGGGGTTGAGGGCTTAGGGTTTAGGCATGTTTAGGCTTTTGGGTCTAGGGTCTAAGGGTTTAGGGTTTTGAGTTTAGAGTCTAGGGTTTAGGGTCGTTTAGGGTCTGGGGTTTCGGGGTAGGTTTACAGCAAAGCTTTTGCAGACATAATGGACCCCAAAAGACCCCTGTAGTATGAAAAAATCCTCTCCCCAGTTCGTACATGCAGGGGCTTTAAACCCTAAATCCTGAGCCCTGAGCCCCAGTCACCCTAGTTTAGGCTTTAGGGTTTAGGGTTTAGGGTTTAGGGTTTAGGGTACCCTGATGACTCCCTTTGCTTCGAAGTTCGTTCGTTCGGGGCCTGGCAACGCACTGTGCTGCGAACCCGAAGATCTGAAGCGCAGGGTCGACGTGTCCCAAAACAGGAATTGCTAGTACCACTATGCCTCAGCAACATGACACCTGGACCGCTGAACTCTGAATCCCAAATTCTTTAGCCTAAATCACAGGGACCCTTAGGGGGGTAACGGGGAGGGGGGTAGGGGACTATACTTCCTTAAATAAGCCTTGTCAGGTCCTCGTTGTGGGCCCTCCCCGCACCGCCCTAAGGGCCCCTATGACTAAACCCAACATCTTAAACCCCAAGCTTTCTACCCTTCCTAAGCCCGACTCTTTCAATTCGAAACCTGCAAGTCCTGGGCCGGACCCCCTAAAGGCCTAGACCCTGAAACCCCGAATCCCTAGCCCGACCCCTAGAACCCTAAACCCTAACCCCGACTCCTTCAAGGACTAGGTATCGATTGGGGTCATTTTTGATTTCCTTTGTAGCTTAATATCAAGCCTCAACTATGAATCATGTTTGGGGCTCTTGAAATCGACGCCTAGAGGAGCTTTACTTGGCAAACAATGAGCTCCAAGAGTTGCCGCGCGGATTTTGTGAGCCCCTACGGCTGATGTTCAGGATTCGACTCAGTCTTGGGCGAGGGAGGTGTCCGTTAAACCCCAGACCCTTCGCCCCTTTGAGGGCGAAGGGGTTTAGGGTTTAGGGTTTGGGAGGATCAGGAGACTTCATTATTACCTTATTTGGAACGTGTGCTTCCAGCTATCTTACCTACTTTCTTACTCCCCTGACCCTTCAGGAATAGGGAACCTAGAAACCGTAACCCTAAACCCTAAACCCTAACCCCCAAACCCTAAACCCTAAACCCTAGATCCTAAAGCCTAGCCCCCAAAACCTTAAACCCTAAACCCGAGACCCTGAACCCTAGACCCTAAACCCTAAACCCCAAGCCCTAAACCCTAAACCCTAAACCGTCTTCGGTGCTGTACTTTCTGCGCCGGTGGCTTCGGATTCCCCAGGCTCGCCGAGCTCGAGACGGTGCACCTGGGGTCAAACAAGCGCCTCGCCCGCAAGTTTCTGGGTTCTTGTTAAGGGACTTTAATAAAAGTTACCATAAGAAAGAAACCATCTTATTTTAAATCTAAATCCCTTTACAGGAACACAGTTTTGGCATCAGGGGTTTGGGATTTAGTGTTTCGGGTGTTGGGGTTTTACATAGGGTTCAGGGTGTTGTTTAAAGCTTTTCTTGCGGTTGGGTGTTGGCGTTGAGGATTCATGCACCGCCAAGTCGTATATTCCACACATATTCCTGTCGTGGTTTTGCGCATGTTGTCCTTGGCTTTCAGCGGTTCTCGCTTCTACTCTTGCAAAGGAATGCTCCTTCCGCGGCTGGCCAGAGGAGTATGTCCAAAATATGTTTCCCACACTTGTACAAGCGGATGAAGCCGCCCGTACCTTCAATTTCAGGGTTCAGCTGCTCAGATTTTGTTGTTCCGGGGTGTAGGGTTCAAGGGCTCAAGGCTTGGCAAGCTTCATCCCTACGTTCTAAGACATTGACGCTGCAACACCTTCCTGAACCCGCAACCTGGTGAACCCTAAACCCTAAAACCAGAAACCCGAAATACCCTAAGCCAAAAAACACTTAAACCCCTAACCTTTGAATCCTGAACACTCAAACTGTGATGCCAGCCGCCGGGAGGCTAAACCAACTGCCGGAAAACTTGGGCCGATTACAGGCCCTTGCGCGCATGGGTTTAGGGTTTAGGGTTGTTTGGTGGTTTAGGGGGGTTTAGGGCTTGTAGAATGCGAGCAAGGGGCGAACAGCCTGGGTCCAAAAACTGTGGCCACATCGAGTTTCCCTACGTACCAGCCTTGTGCCTTCATTACAGCTGCGCAATAGGAGAAGGGGTACTTAAACCCTAAACCCCTAAACCTTAAACCCTACACCCTAAACCCGAAACCCTATTCGAGAATATCATGGGTCTACTGCGGAATCTAGCTATTTCACATTTCATAGCCCTGCAGTAAGTTGGACTTCCGAGCGGAGGCCGGGCAGCCCTTGGGCAAACGAGTGGATGTGAGGGGGTTTAGGGTGAATGAAATTAGGGTTTGCGGTTTAAGGTTTAATTTGATTTAGGGTTTCGAGTTTTAGAGTTTAGTTGGGGACTGAGTCGTATCATCTACCGCATGCCCCTCTTGTGGTATCTCCACTTAAGTTGCGTGGTGAGAGCTCGAATTCGGGGTGACCTGGGCATGGAAAGCACCCTGAGGATTCAACTGCCTCAACTGAGGCGCTTTTGCCATTGTTGAACAGAGATTTAGGCATTTAGGCTTTACGGTCTACTGTTCCTTCGATGAGAAAGCTGCACGGTCTGGGGCGAGCTGACGGCAGAAGCGCTACGCCCTAAGCTGCTAGGGTGTAAGGTTTGATGGGTGGTGTATGGTTTCCCCTACTTGCAGGTTCATGAGTAGTTATAAGTGGGTTTATAAGTCCCCTAATATGGGTTATAACTATAGTTATCCTTCTTATAACCTTACTTTTAACTACCCATGAACCTTCAAGCAAAACCCTATGGTTTGGGCTCCCAGAGTCAAATCTTTGTGAGTGTCTCCTTTATCCGCCTTGCGGAGGCTTTGAAGGAGCTACACATAGGCAGCAACACGCTTCCTGGCCGCGAAGAGATCCGTGTGGTTGGGTTTGCCGGGCTCTTGTTACGGAACTTAACAAAAGGTATCAACAGGTAGCACTATGGGGAATGAGTATACCCTACACCTTAAACCGAGTAAGCTCTATCATATTTGTCGGAGTATACCCTAAACCCTAAACCCAGTCAGCTCTGTCATGATATTAGGACATCGCACATTATATTGCTGAGAGCGAGGATGTGGGATTGGCTACTCATGGGTGGTTGTCAATATTAGGGTCCCTGTTGGTCCTTACTATAATACGGCACCTAATCTTTGGGGTACCGAAGAAGGGACCATAACTTTGACAACCGCCCTCATGGTCTGTGGAGCTGCTCTCTTAGGGTGTCACGAATCAGAAGCCTCAGAAACATCCCTTATGATGCTTGTAAGTACATGGAGGTTCCTGGGTAGCTATAAGTGGGGTAGGTATAGTTCTCCTACTTATAACCCTACTGATAACTACCCATGAACCTCCAAGTAAGAGCAGAGCAAAAAGCCGGCCGAGCGATTGATGAGAACCTGAGGCTCACCCACTTGCCGGACAGCATAGGCCTGCATGGGAGGGAAAGAGAGAGGGAGGGAGGGGGCAAGGGAGACAGGAGAAGAAGAAGACTGCGGTGGGTAAGCGCTAAGTCCTTGTACAGTTGTACTACTCGTATGCCAACATCTTTTTCCTGTTATAACCCGCCCCTTCTCGTCTGCACCCGGGGACTGGATTTAGCGTGGACATTCTCAGCCCCTAGGCACTAGGGTTAGGAATTTTGGGTCTTAGGTAGTCTTTGTATGGTTTTCAGAGAGTCGTCGGGTTTATGGTTTTGGTTTTAGAGGCTGCTTGTATGGGTTTGCGGGTCTGAGGCTTTGGCCGGGGGTTGGATGGAGTACTTGGAGGGGCGGGGGACTTAGTAAGTAGGTAGTAAGTAGACTTATAAGTACCCTAAAAGGGACCCTAATTGGGGTTATGGCACTTATAAGTCCCGAAAGTAACCAGTTACTAAGTCCCCCGACCCTCCAAGGAAACCCCCAGCCTGATCCCAGGTTGTTTCAGGCCGAGGTTCTAGTTCCCGGCTCTCTCGCGTGCCGTGCTTTGCGCTTGCTCTTCTGGACCCAAGCTTGGGTTTCTATGGGGACCCACTCGCACTACCCTCAGACCTGAATCGCAAACTCTAAAGACCACCCCGCACCGTTAAATCCGAAACTCTCGATCTTAAGCCACAAATCCTAAACCCTTCACCCTTCGCCCTATCGAGCCCTGCTCGGAGGTTCATGGGTTGTATCAAGCGGGTTTGTAAGTCTCTTAATATGGGTCGTATTCATATTTGTGCTACCTATATCCCTAGTTATAACGACCCATGAACTACGTAGAGCCACCCATGACCCCTCCCAAAGAGGTGAGCTCCAGCTGCTACAGCAGCTTTTCCTGGGCAGCAACCACCTGGAGGTTTAGGGCTTCTAGGGTTTAGCAAGGATTCCTTAATGGGTTTGTGAGTTTTTTTTTTTTTTTGTGGTGGTGCTGTGGTAGCAGTTTCATGAAGCTTCTCTTCTGCTTTCTTCAGCGTTCCTGGTGAGTTTTTAAGGGCTTGCGGTTTGGGCCGGGGAGGGGATGGAACTAGGCCCGCAAAACCCCAAGCCGAAAGCAAGTCCAGGTGCCGGGGGCGTAAGGACCAAATGACCCCTCCAAAAGAATGAGCCCGAAATCTCGTATTCTATTCCCTTCTTCTTCGGAACATGAACCATCAAGTTTTGGAGTTCTTGTCTTGGGCTTAGGGTTTAGGCTTTTGTAGTGTGTCGTGCTGGCACTCACAATCGTTCGCAACAGTACGCCTTCCCATAGGATCTAAAGCCTAGGAGTCTGAGTGTATGGGACATTCAGTAGCTTTGGTGTCCTAGAACTCTCAAAGCACTTGTGCAATCCGGTTGGGTGACATGGCAAACCTTGAAAATTCAACACTTTCGAAATCCCTAACGCTGAACTGTACAAAGAGCTTGAAATTCTCCAGAACCGTGAAGTTCTAAAACCACAAAAGCCATAAGAACCATGAGCGGCCTACACTTTAGAAGACTCTAAAAATCATGCAACCCTTACCCTGAACCCTAAACCCTAAACCCTAGATTCCCATCTGGCCTTCTTGGGCCGTTCTCACCCATAACTGGGTGCCCCCGTGCCCTGCCCTGCCCTCCCCTGCCGTGCCCTGCCAGGCCCTGCCCTGCCCTGTTTCCGTGCCGTGCCCTGCCCGCGGTGCTGCACCCTGCCCGCTTGCTGGTGTGGGACTTGAGGGCGAAGCCCTCAACCCTAACATGAGATGGTTTGGGTGGTTGCCTGTGGACGGGTTTTGAGAACTTCGGTTTCGAAGGGCGCTTGACGCGCAATATGCCGCCACCCACAAACCACAAACCCTGGTGTGAGGTGGCGCCATCCTTGCATGGATGGCCAGCCACTGCACAGCAAGACACCCGAAACCCTAAACTCGAAACCCTAAACTCAAGGCCTAGGCCGCCCACGAAGGTGGGTGGGCGGCGCTTAAGCCCCACACGCCCCGCCTCTTCACAGCCACGGGGACTGGAGCACCCACGTCGGACCCGGTACGGGACACGTTCTCCTCGGGACCAGTACTGGTCCTTCAAAAAAGTCAATACCCCTAAACCCGAGGCTCAAGTCCCTGGACCCTTCAGGGGGTCTTGGTGCTTCCAGCGAGCAGAATTCAAGGACCTAGGGGCCTCCAGGCCAATTGTGGTTTTTGGCGGGCTTCTTGCTTGAGTTTGCGCGGTCTCTGGCGTGGGCCCAGGACCACGGGAATCCCCAAACGTGACTTGCATTCAGTTTTCAACCATCCTAAGCTAGACCATGGCCGGAAGGCGAGGGATGCGGAAGCCTGCAGCCTTTCCAGGAACACATGCCAAAAGGAGCTTGAGGCCTTGAAGTCTCTGACCTTTTCAAGACTGGGCCCAGTAAGTACTCTGGCAATGGGCTCTTATCCTACAAATATGGTAGGGAAGCCTAACAGGGAAGGATATAATTACTTTGTAAACCCGAAGAGCTGGTCCAGCCTTACCTCTCTTGCAAGTAGCCCAGGTCGCCCAGGCAAGAGCAGCTGCTCGACTTGCGACCGGGTGGCAGCTGAAGGATGCTGCATGATGTGTGCACTCCCGTCCCGTCCCGTCGTGTCGGTACTTGATCTTTGATGAATTAGTTGCAGCCAGGTGGGGGCTTGCAGCTGTTTAGCCCAATAAATCAACTTGAGATACCGGAGCCCGATCCCAGCAGTCGCTCCTGGAGAGTGCGACGTCGCCGTGCAAAGACCTTCATTCGATTTTTCCCGTGCAAAGAGTGCTTGCAGACCTTTCCGAGCGGATAGGAACCAGAGCAATCGAACCGTGAGGCATTTACAATTGTACGCAAGCGGAAGAAGCCACCCATGTTGCGGCGACCGATCGTCTCCCTGCCGCCTTATTCTGGCAAGCTTTTGGGGTTTAGTTTCTGCGCTTGTCCCCGATGAGGCCAGCTCCAGCTATGCAGACGCCACAGCCGCCCTGCACCAAGCGAGTGAAGCTGCAATGCACTGATTGAGACAAGCCGGATGTTTTCAGAGAGCTTGAATCCGAATGATGTCTGCGTTAGATGAGCCGGACGGGTGTGTCGTGCGGATGTCATCACCTGGGCTGTTTTTCTGTTCTTGCTTGATTTTTGCCCTGTCTCTGGCGTGGGCCCCAGGACCACGGGAATCCCAAACGTGACTTGCATCCGGTTTTCAACTAAGCTAGACTATGGCCGGAAGGCGACGGATGCGGAAGCCTGCAGCTTTTCCAGGAACACGCTAAACATGCCAAAAGCAGCTGGGGGCCTTGACATGAAGAGGCTTGAATACTTAGACTATGGTTCTGGGGGCTCTTATATCACAAATATAGTAAGGAAGCCTAACAGGGAAGAATATGAGAGAAATTCTTTAGGCCTCTTTTGTAAGCCCGAAGAGCTGGTCCAGCCTTACTTCGCCTACAAGTAGCCCAGGTCGCCCAGGCAAGAGCAGCTGCTCGACTTACGACCGGGTGGCAGCTGAAGGATGCTGCATGATGTGTGTGTGCACTCCCGTCCCGTCCCGTCCTGTCGGTACTTGATCTTTGATGAGGTAGTCGTAGCCACGTGGGGGCTTGCAGTTGTTTAGCCCAAAAAATCAATTTGAGATACCGAAGCCCGAGCCCAGCAGTCGCTCCTGGAGAGTGCGACGTCGCCGTGCAAAGGCCTTCATTCGATTTTTCGCGTGCAAAGAGTGCTTGCAGACGTTTCCGAGCGGATAAGCACCAGAGCAAGCGAACGGTGAGGCACTTACAATTGTATGCAAGCGGAAGAAGCCACCCATAGTGCAGCGACCGATCGTCTCCCTGCCGCCGTATTCCGGCAAGCTTCTGCTGCAGTGCACTGATTGAGACAAGCCGGATGTCTTCGGAGAGCTTGAATCCGAATGATGTCTGAGTTAGATGAGCCGGACGGGTGTGTCGTGCGGATGTCATCACTTGGGCTTTTTTTCTGTTCTTGCTTGATTTTTGCACTGTCTCTGGCGTGGGCCCCAGGACCACGGGAATCCCCAAACGTGACTTGCATCCGGTTTTCAACTAAGCTAGACTATGGCCGGAAGGCGACGGATGCGGAAGCCTGCAGCCTTTCCAGGAACACGCTAAACATGCCAAAAGCAGCTGGGGGCCTTGAAGTCTCTGACCGTTTCAAGACCGGGCCCAGTACTTACTCTGGCAATGGAGGCTTGAATACTTAGACTATGGTTCTGGGGGCTCTTATGTCGCAAATATAGTAAGGAAGCCTAACAGGGAAGAATATGACAGAAATTCTTTAGGCCTCTTTTGTAAGCCCGAAGAGCTGGTCCAGCCTTACCTCGCCTACAAGTAGCCCAGGTCGCCCAGGCAAGAGCAGCTGCTCGACTTACGACCGGGTGGCAGCTGAAGGATGCTGCATGATGTGTGCACTCCCGTCCCGTCCCGTCGTGTCGGTACTTGATCTTTGCTGCGGTAGTCGTAGCCAGGTGAGGGCTTGCAGCTGTTTAGCCCAACAAATCAACAGGAGAAACCGAAGCCCGAGCCCAGCAGTCGCTCCTGGAGAGTGCGACGTCGCCGTGCAAAGGCCTTCATTCGATTTTTCGCGTGCAAAGAGTGCTTGCAGACCTTTCCGAGCGGATAAGCACCAGAGCAAGCGAACGGTGAGGCACTTACAATTGTACGCCAGCGGAAGCAGCCACCCATGTTGCAGCGACCGATCGTCTCCCTGCCGCCTTATTCTGGCAAGCTTTTGGGGTTTAGTTTCTGCGCTTGTCCCAGATGAGGCCAGCTCCAGCTATGCAGCCGCCACAGCCGCCCTGCACTAAGCGAGTGAGGCTGCAGTGCACTGATTGAGACAAGCCGGATGTCTTCGGAGAGCTTGAATCCGAATGATGTCTGAGTTAGATGAGCCGGACGGGTGTGTCGTGCGGATATCAACACTTGGGCTTTTTTTCTGTTCTTGCTTGATTTTTGCACTGTCTCTGGCGTGGGCCCCAGGACCACGCGAATCCCCAAACGTGACTTGCATCCGGTTTTCAACTAAGCTAGACTATGGCCGGAAGGCGGACGGATGCGGAAGCCTGCAGCCTTTCCAGGAGCACTGCGAATGGACAACCTAGACATGCCAAAACCAGCTTGAGGCCTTGAAGTCTCTGACCTTTTTCAAGACCGGGCCCAGCAATTAATCTGGCAATGGAGGCAGTCTAATAGGGAAGAATACGATAGCAATTCTTGAGGCTTTTTTTTGTAGGCGCGAAGAGCTGGTCCAGCTTTACCTTTCCTGCAAGTAGCCCCTGCCCTGCTCCGCCCTGCCCTGCTCCGCCCTGCCCTGCCTGCCTGCCCTGCCATGGCCTGGCCTGGCCTGCCCTGCCCCCCTTGTTCTGCTGCCCCCTGCCCCTGCCCCTGCCCTGCCTCAACCCCGAACGAGGCTTAGGCTCTAGGTTTTCCAACCTAGGGTGTCGATTCTGGAGTGTGGGATTCAAGTGCTTATTTGCGCTATCAGCTTAGATCTTTTCGCTCCAGCTGCATGTTACTATCAGGGACAGTGGCAATTGCAAGTTGCAAGGTGCTCCGTCCGGTATGCCCTGCCTGCCCCGCCCGCCTTGCTGCTGCCCTGTTGTGCGGTTGAAGTAATAGGGAAAACCATAGAATGAGTTCAGGTGCTAAACCCTAAAAGGAATAGGTTTGGCTGCCTGAGAGGGCGTGGGTGGGAGAGAAAAAAAGAGCCATCCACAATCAGGCTCCAACGGCCAATCGTCAGAGGACGACGCACTCGAACTTGCACTGTCGCAAGATATTTCCGGTTATGTGCCATGCCACTCTAACGGCGAATCCCTAAACCCTAAACCCTAAATGAAGCCCTTGCCAGGTTTTGCCGGAGACGTTTGCCTTGGCTGGTTTGCAGAAGCCGCTGGCCTTGCAAGCAGTGATTGCTTGAAAATCCAGCCTTCTGCGATTTAGGGTTAAGTTTCTGAGGATGCGGGATTTCAGTGTTTAAGGATTGGGGATTGTGAGGTTTATAAAGACCCATGAACAGTCTATGGAACCCGAGAACAATTGGGTCCTTCCAAGGGTGGTACAAGGGTCGAAGGATTTAATTAGGGTGTCTGGCGCAGGGTTGCTTGAAACCCTAATGTCCAAACCCGAAACTAAACCCTGACGCCTACTGCCTGTTGAATGGGGTTCATGCATGTGGCAGGCGGCCTCATGTGCCTTAGGGATTAGGGTCTAGGGAAACGCTTAGTGTCATCAACGGTCAGATGAGTGGGAAGCCATCGATGGAAGAGTTCGTACATCTGCATCCATCCATCCATCCATCCTTCCCAAGAAAACCCTCCCATCTACCCTCCCATCCATCCATCCATCCCTCCGTCCACCCATCCATCCATCCATCTATCCACGCGATGCATATCTGCACGTAAGTAGTGTGCCAGCCCACTTGTTCCCAACTTGCTAGTACAACCGCTCCTGTGAGCTAAAGAAGTTTCGGGGAGTCTTCCTCTCTTAGATACTGCAGCGCCCATAACTATAGTCTCCTTAGGAGTTATTTTTTGTACATGTAAAACCCAAGAGAGTGTCAAGCATTTTGCTTTCGATATGGTTTTAAGGGCGGGGCGGGATATAGATATAACCTGAATCCTAAACCAGAAAATTCTAGGCACCTGCACCAAAAACTCCGAAGCCACAACCTGGGTTCTCTTGGGTTCAGTGTTAGTCGCTGAGCACTTCGAACCCGAAGCGTAAGCCCCACACGTGCGCATCAAGTTCTTCGCACTTTGCGGGGTAGGGGGCTGCTGTTTAGAGTTCAGATTGCATCCAGGGTTGAGGGTTTGAGCTCTGAGGGTTCTACTTGGAGCTTCATGGGTGGTTGTAAGTAGGGTTATAAGTCCCCGAAATTCGTCCCGAGCTGAGGTTGCATCTGTCTTGCCCTCAGCTGCTCTTTCTTCGGCGTGTTGTGAGGGATCGGTGGACACGCAAGCAAAATAGTCTTCTATCGTGGTCACTGTCGTCCTTATATGGTTTTTAGCATAGTGATGTACCACCAAACCTTGTTCTGATGATCAAGGAAGGCCCCTCAAGTGCCTGGTGCTAGGACCCCATCGGTCCCCTGTTTTTGTGCTGTGGGGTCTCCCTACTCGAGGAAAAGCAGAATGTACCAAACCACTAAGGGGCTTTCAGCCGGGCTGGGTACATTTCTGAACGTGCTCCCCTTTCCTGCCCTCAATAGAGGGTGTAAGGTTTAGAGTTTAGGGGTTAAGGGCCCATGACATAACTGAGCGCAGATCGAGAGCACCTGCAATGTGCTGTTTCCTGCATAGCTTGGAAGACTGGGAGTTCGTAGGAACTGCACCGGAGGCCTACACGTCCTGAAACCCGGCGCCGTCATCAGGAGCCCCTTAAACTGCACCAGACTGAGGCCTAATGGAGGAACCTGATCAAGAAACTATAACCCCCAAATAGTAGGATATATATACGGCACCCTAACTAATACAGGCCCAAGGTATCTTAATCAGGTTCCTACATTAGACCCTCAACCCCAAACCTGTACCCTAAACCTATTAATACCCCAAAGATCTCTACACCCTCAATCCCCAGTCGAAAACCTGAAATCCGATCCCCCGCCTGAGACCCTTACAGCAATACAGTAGAAGCCAGAAAGTTGGAATATCATCATCGTAACCCCTTTAAGGGAAATTATAGGGGATCCTACCATTAATCCGTATTCCAACTTTCTGGAGTTCCCCATAGGACCTGACAATTAGGATCGTAAAAAAAAGGCCTTATAACTGGCATTAGATTGTTGTAGAGCCTTTTTTATCAAAGACCTTCATACATAACCCTAGCCCAGAGTCGCTAGGCCCCCTCAGTTACGCGATTCAATTGAACTTATCCAGGCTTAAGGTTGAGTTTGGGGCTTACGAGGTCTTTATGTATAGGTCTTGGGTTAAAGGCTCGGGGTTTGGGAACCACACTTATGACAACCCAAAACCAAAAGCCTCAATCCTAAACCCTCACCTCTAAACCTTCTTCGCCGACCCAACAAGGAGCCACTATGGTTGATGATATAAATCCTGCATTACCCATAATAAGGACTATACCATAATTCCCATAGTCTAGGGTCCTTAAGGTAATGCAGGATTTAGATCAGAAAAACCTTTCTTCAGGCGCCAGAACCTCCTCCAAAGTCTGGCAGAGAGTTTCGGGGAGCTGCGGAGCCTCAAGAAGCTGTCCCTTGGGCTGGACATTGAGGGTTTTCAGGGGTTCAGGGTTTAGTTACTGGTAGGGTGTAGGTTTTAGTGTTTAGGTTTTCGGGTTTAGGGTGTAGGGTTCAGGGGTTTGGGTTTAGAGTTTAGGGGTTGGCGCTTAGTGTTTCGGGCTTTGGAGGGATTTCAGTGGATGTCGCGGGTTGCGGGTGTAGCCTGTTTGAGCGCAGAAGCTATGGAACCCGAAATCAGCTCAGACGATCCTAATTCCAAAAACTATGATGTAGCTATATGGGAGTTTCCGAATAGATAGTACCCTAAAATTAGGATCCTGATTATAAGGATCCCCAAATCACGTAATTACCCCTAATCTTCGGAAACTCCCATATTGAAAGCAAAAGCCGATTGATACTGTTGATGATCTAAATCCCGCATTACCTTAAGGACCCTAGACTATGGGAATTATGGTATATTCCTTGTTATGGGTAATGCATGATTTATATCATCAGCCGTAGTGATTTGAGGTTCCTCCATGACCTGGTCGAACCAGGAGGATGCATAATAACCCAAAGGCTCCATGTGCCCATATAGTTTATACTTAGGCCTGAAAGTACCTATATAGGGACCCCTTTAAGGCCTAAGTATCTATCATAAAGGTACATGGAGTCTTGTTGTAAGTGTGGCAGATGGTTTATTCACATAAGGCAAAGGCGTCTGCCCTAAGCCTTAAACCCAAACCTTAAAAACCCTAAACCCGAAATTGCCAACGGGGGCCACGAGGATTCCCTACATGGTCCCGATGCAAGGGGCAAACATGTTTTTGCAAAGCTGCAGGAGGATGTAGCACGCGGTGCGGGGTTCTAAACGCTAAGCCCTGTGACCCCAACATCGTATACCAGACTAGAATGACAAAGCCATTTGACGAGTCGGCGTACATAAGTTTTGACGAGGTTCGCGTGCCAACAGTCACCTCGCATCTCGCATCTCAGCACTGAAGCTCTAAACCTAAGATAGGGGTCGGAATAACCAGTAGTTGCATTGCCTCATAGTCATCTTCTTTACAGTATCAGTATAAACTATCCAAATTACAGTGCAACACTGTTCCAATTTTTACATTCTTCAGGCCTGCATACTGCAGCGCAAACTACACCCTCAGAACCTATTCTCTTCAAGTCGTACACCATACACCCTGAGACCCATAAAACCCTGTGGAACCCCTACTGGGAGGTTCATGGGTAGCTATAAGTAGGGATATAAGTAATTAGGATAACCATAGTTATAACCCATGTTAGGGGACCTTTAACCCCAATCATAACTACCCATGAACCTCCAAGTATGGAGAGCCTTAAGAGACCCTGGAACCTGTGAGTAATTCCAAGGTTCCTGGACTCCAATCAGATTCAGGACGCTCCAGGGATTGGGATTTAGGGGGCTTAGGGGCTCAGTGCTTCATTCTTTTACGGTTGAGCTTGAGCCTGCGGGTTTATGGTTTACAGTTTCGCAGATTGGGTGTTAAGGGTTGTCGGGCGTAGGGCTAGCGTTTAGGATCGCAGGGTAAAGTGCAAGAAGACAGGATGTTATCCACAGTACTGCGTACTGCAGTAGCCCTTGTAGCAACCCTCATCGAAACCCTTGCAGTGTTGCCCCACTAGGATGCCCAGTAGTACCCTTATTCCCTTTTTCCAGTCCTAGGTTCCTTATAAAGATTACGCAATACCAAAAAAGGGAGCCCTTTTTTCCTAGGTTACTTGAACTTGAAACCTGTAACTCTTCGGCTCTGTGCATCCCAGAGCATTCCCTCTAGGATCCCGTCTCGCTTTCCTGAGCCTTTCGGAAGAGTGAGCATGTAGGGCCCTGCGGCTGATGATCTAAATCCTGCAACGGTTCCTTTAAAGGGATCTAGAAGGGTACCTTGAAGGGGTTCCTTCAAGGGTTCTATACGGTTTTAGGGTTTAGGGTTTAGGGCTTTAAATCCTGCATTACCCATAATAAGGAATATACCATGATTCCCATAGTTAAGGGTCCTTAAGGTAATGCAGGGTCTATATCATCAACAGTATTGAGCGTCGGAAAAGCCTTCTGTGAGGGTTCTTTAAGGTTTTAGGGAGTTTAGCCTGGACATGAAGCACTTGGGTTTGAGAGGGATTATAGGTAAACTAGCTAATCGTTATACCTGCTTCTGAGCCGAGTTAAGCTACTTACGACTCCACTGGCTAAGTGTCCTGAGCTGCAAAGAAGGGTATAAGATCGACAAGAGGGACTTTTCCTCAGTTTGAGGGGTCTTGGGCTCTTTGAAGGTTTCACCGTGGCGTTGGGTTTAGGGTAACTTATACAGGCTTGCAGCTATGTCTTGCCACGTGGGCGGAGCTTTCAAGCTCAGACCTTTCATTCAACTGCATTCTGTCCTGCCTGGCTTTCGTGCTCGAACTTGACTGCTGCATAGTTTCCTGGTTGCCTGGTATCTATGAAGCCGCGAACGGAAACTTGGCCAAGTCCATGACTATGCACGAAGACCAGGAAGCGCAGACATGGCGTGGCCGCAGAGGAGGAACCCTGGAGTCCCCAGAGAGCCCAATACCCCTTGATTAAGGAATATAGCTTAAATCACGATATGAAGCCATATATAATTGAAGCCATATTCCTTAATTAAGGGGTATTGGGCTCTCTGGGTCCCCGGTCCCCGCCTGCGCTGAATCTGCTGGGACGCGCTCTCGTAGAGAGCGCTCTTGCTTTCCAGACGGGAATCGGCGACGTAGCCCAGGACGGCGTGAACACCGCCACCGCACTCCGGCAGTTCTTGACGTCGCCGAGCTTCGGATTTTGGACCCGAAGCGTTTTTGACCGTGACATAGTGACTAAGTGGAGCATTTTCAAAAAGAAGTTCAAGAACAAACATAAGCTCTAGAAGCTAAGCAAAGAAAGAACACAACATGCTATACTACACTCAACTGCTACCCTATACGCAACTACTCAAACCTTAACCTTCGGATCCCAAGCATTAAACCCTAGACGCAACACCTTTACTTCTGAAACCCCGCACTCTGAACTCCTGATGTCTGTTAGTTCAGCAGCCCAACCCCCAAATCTGAGACCCAAATCCCAAGCCCGCTAGTTGGAGGGTCGGGAGACGTAGTAGGCAGTTACCCAGAGAGCCCAATACCCCTTAATTAAGGAATACGGCTTACACCATATAGGGCTTCATGTTATGGTTTAAGCTATATCCCTTAATTAAGGGGTATTGGGCTCTCTGGGTATTCTTTTTGAGTTATGAGTAGCTAGCGTCCCTGTTAGGGTATTTACAACTCGATATAGTAGCTACTTGCTAAGCCCGAGCCCCCCCGACCCTCCAAGTAGACAGCCGTGCCAGGAGTTGCCAGACAGCTTCGGCCAACTGTCTTCTCTGGAGGTCCATCGTAAAGATGGGAGGTTCTCGAAGATGTGTTTTGGAGTTTGGGAGTTTAGCGTGTAGGGCCAAGTTTGGCTTGTGGGCTTTCGGGATCCTACTACTGTCTTTCTCAGGGTCTGTAGTAGGGTTGATGCCTTCGTAGCCGTAGCTTTCGTTGGGGTTTGGAGAGAACTTTCTTTGGGGCTTGAGATGTAGTGCTTTGGGTTTATGAGAGCTGTCGGGGGCGGCTTGGGAATTGGAGATCAGGACTTTGTTTGTTGTTTGTTGTAGTACCTTCCTCCTTCCTCTTGCCCCCCTGCTCCTGCTCCCCCGCCCCATCACCATGTTCCGATCATAGTGGCCACTTGTCCTAACTTTGAGCCTTAATTACTACGATCTCTGGTTCAGAAGGAACAAGTGAGAAAATGATGAGCAACTCTTTGGGTTACGGGGCTGAGTACTTTGATCTTCATCTTATTTATCATAGACCGGCTCTTTTGGAGATTGATCTTTCTGGAAAGCGGCCAACTGTGGGGCCTGGGTGTGGTTTTTAGGGCTGTTTGTCATCGGGTTTCAGGGTTAGAAACTCCAAGTTGCAGGAACGTTTGTTTATGTGGCTTGTAACACAAAGCAGACACAGCAAGGGTCCTAAGTAGCTTTCGTGACGGCCTGGTCGAGCTATGCAAATAAATCACTGCTCAACAGGCACCACACCAGTGTGCAGGTTAACCGCTTAGTCAGGATTCGTGTGCAGCAGATTTTGCAAACAGAGACATTGCAAATACCAGGGATTTCCGGACTGTTTAGAGCAAGTCTTGGGTTACGCCAAATAGGCTCGACAGTTTACCTATGCAGCCTCGGACCTCGAGCCTTTGAGACTTTGGGCTCCCCACCCAAAGCAAACCCAGCCAACACTAACGAAATGTTCCTGCATCCCTGTTCAGCACGCCGAAGCGCAGCAAAGATGCGAGCAGCCCATGTATGTACAGACTGTAAGCGATAAATATCTTACTTTCGTCCTCGCGCGCGGGCCGTTCTTTTTTGGATTTTGTATTTTTTTTGCCGTGTTTGTCAGGCGGGGGCGGGAGGTCAAGGTCCACTCAGAAGCCCAAACAATGAAGGGCCAGGGCACCACAGAGCTCAGATGCACGGGCAAGGTCTGTTTAGGCCCCTTGCAAGGCCAAATGGGAGCTTGGACAAGGTCCAAACGCAGCCCGCTCCACAGGCAGGAACCCCTCAAGGTTAAACATTTGCAGTTTTCAGCGGTTCTTTTGACGTGGCAGGACAATTAGACAAACCTGGTGGCTTTGTGTGGTGTAAAAGGTGGCAACGGGGTGAGGAAGAATGGACGGAGCCATTTCTCGGCGAGACGCATTTTGTGTAGCGTGTAGAAGTTTGCCTCCATGCCGCTGACAACAATTTCATCAATGTCATGGCAGTCGTGGGCCAACGAGCAAACGCCGTCCGATGCTAATGTGAGAATGGCTTCGCAGCCAACTGAATCTTTGTGAGGCCGGTGTCAGCAAGATATCCGACACAGATGCTCGCAGTGGACCATGCAATGACTGGCCAGGTGCAGGCGACGCTTGTGTCCTGTGCGACGTGACGTGTTTGTCACAGGTAGGACAAGAGCAAACATGATTAGTCGATGTCAGAGTAGCAAGAGTAGGGCAGTGCGCGTGCGGCAACGTACAAAAGCAGCAGAAAGTTTTGCTGTCGTTTGTCACAGGGGCTGGCTGCGGATGCTTGTGAGGCCACCGGGCGGCAAGGGTGCCCAGGAGAGCGCAGACAGACGCTGCCATCGCCGAGACGAAGGGGCATCTTGGTACACACGTGCTCGAAGTCACCGTGCTGTGTTCTGGCAACTAATTTAACAATTTAGCTACCAGCTGTACTCGGGGAGGGTTGCTGACCTGACCAAACCCCTTGTCTTAGTACCAGGATAAAAGTTTGCTGACCCAAACTTTTGTCTTGGTGCAGTCGAGGGCGGCTTGGGCTGTACTGAGAGAAGGGTTTGCTGACCGAAACCTTTGCCTTAGTATAGTCTGGAGGGCTTTTGGGCCTTACTAAGAGAGGGGCTTGCTGACCGAAGCCCTTGTTCGTAGCATCTAGCAGGCCTTGGCCTGTACTAAGACACGGGTATGCTGCCGAAAACCTCATCTTGGAACAATCCAAGGCGCCCTGGACTGCACAAAAAAAAGCTTATTATAGGGCCCTGGACTGTGCTAAGAAAAGGGTCTGCTGACGGGCTAACCCTTGTCTTAATACAGCCCACAGCGCCCTAAACTGCACTAGAGGAATTTGCTGACCGGCAAACCCTTGTGTTGGTGCCGCCCAAGGACGCCTAGGACTGCACTCGGAAAGGGCTTCGCTGCTGGCAAACCGTTGTCCTTGGTACAGTCCAGGGCGCGCTGGACTGTACTAAGAAACGGGCTTGCTGGCCAGCAAACCGTTGCCTTGGTGCAATCCACGACGCTCTGGACCAGCATACAAAACTTAATAGCAACATGTATAATTATGTGCAATCACTGGCGCGTAGACGCACCATCGCCGTCTGAACCACCAACCACCTCCCTCCTGACCACCCGGTTCTACTTTCCGATCCTCACCGTTACTCCTGCTAACGACAAGAAGGCTACTGCATAGTAACTACGACGACGGTCCGATTCAAAACGCGAGTGCAAATTCTGGGCACTTCGAACGCCGGTTCTGGCAAGAACACGAGTTCCTTCGAAGGCTCCACTCGTTCCCTCATTCCTTGCTAAAGGCCACCTAGTAAAAGTGGCTCGGGTGCTGAATCCGAGGTCCGTTCACTGGAGGGGTGACGGCTTTTGGGAAGCTGCGAGACTACGATGGAAAACGTGCGGAAACCTATCGGATCAGTATACAGGTGAGCCGCAAAGCATTGTCGGCAAGACGGATGCATGACACTGACGTGAGGCTTGGGTGTGCCATGATGGGAGCCACTGCCCCTTGGTGAGTTTCAAGCACGTCTTCCGCAGCGGCGACCGGGTCTTGTTCAGATCCCTTCAAAGTGTCCTGCCGCTTCGACGACAAGTCGGAGGCCGTAGGCGTTCAGCTGCGCGACCAGTAGCGGCAGCTGAAAACAGTGGTGGGGCGAAGTGCATTGCTGTCAGGCAAATGGCGAGTGATGCAGTTTGTCGCTAGAACAAGTATGAGGCACCAAGACCGGTGTAGACGATTGTGGTGTCTGAATACCGGCTTGGTTAGTTTAATATAGCATATATGTAAATATTCAATGCTACATACGCACATGTTTTATTGGTGCTATAACATCTGATAGAAGTGTAATGGCTAGTATTATGGATGTGTGTGGTGTAATTTAGAGGGGCAGCGGATTGCCTAGAGGTCCGTCCAGCCTAGTTCAAACAGGGGCACGCGAGGTCGGTATGGAGCCCTCGACTCCAACGAGGTCAATATGGAACCCAAACACCCTAGAGGGCTGAAATCCTGTTCGTTTTGATGCTAATGTCATTCTACCGTCTTAACCTTCGAACACCATCCCGCAATTTTCAGTATTTGGAGCAACACCTGTTGCCCTTTATGGTTCCTCAAATTGGTTGGTGTTCTGTGCCCGTGTGTTTGCGAGCACATACAGGGGTTGTCTATAAAACACACGGGCCGCATTTGTCAACACGTGCGTTGTCTGCAAACGTGTGGGTTGCCCAACTGCCACAGCGCATGTGAATACAGAAAAATGCACTGCAGCAGAAGCGTCCAGGGTCCTGTAGTTGAGCCATCAGGAAGTTTGATAAAAGTATACTGTATCAGCTAAACAAGATCTGTTGTAATGCTATGTGTGGGTTGGACATAAGACCAGGGACTTAAGATGTTGGGTTTTGAGTGTGCTTAAACAGTGGTCGAAAGTAAGTTAACCGATCGTTATACCTATTTACGACCGGAGTTAAGGCACTTAGAACCCCATTGACTAAGTGCTCGAGCCTGTAAGAAGGGTACAGGGTCGACAAGAGGGGATTTTCTCCAGTTTGAGGGGTCTTGGGAGTTTTGAAGGGTATGCCGCGGCGGTTCAGGGTTTAGGGTAACTTATACCGGAGTGCGACAGGTATAATAGCTTTGGCAGTCGTACACTGAAGGAGTGAGTTCCTTGCTGTACAAATCTAAATCCTAGAGATGTGCCTCTACTATACGGCAAGAGCGTTTGTCTTCTCTCCCCGCAACATCTTTCGGACCCTATTGCAGCTCTACCTTGAACAGTAGAAGCAGGTCGTGGTTATGTGGGTTTAACAGGTCGTGGTTATGTGAGTTTGCTTGTCAACAGAGTTTGGGTCTTGCTTGCGTTAAGCACGTGCTATCTCCGGTCTACTCTGGTTCTTCGGGTCTAAGTTGGGTCTAAGATACCTGCTTGAATTTGAACCGGAAGGCTTGCATGTTGGAGGTCCTCGATCCACTCAGCCGTCGTGACATGCAGCACACTAAGGTAAGGTCTGTTGAACAGTTTTAGCATCCACAACATCCGTTGAGCTAAAGATTCCTACAATAGCTAGAGTCGATCAGCTCGCCGCGGCAATGGTTGCAAAACGCACGTTCACAGGTTAGATCCGATTAAGTTGCTTCACGACGCCTCAATGGATGTGATGAGACACAAAACGTGGTGTAGCGTCGTTGTTTATCACGAGCCGTCTTATGTTGTCATCGCCTGATCGTTTTCCTCCCGGCATATTTGCGTTCGCATCCTGAATAGCATTGTTGCCGAGATCATTTCGTGTTGGAGAAGCGCTGTCTCGCAGTTGTGCGCGCAATTTTGGTTCAACCAACCAACTGCTTGGGCTTTTGGTGCGATGCCAGTATGTTCTGGGGGACCCTTCTTGGCATCAAAAGGAAGAACAGCCGACTTCTGACAGGAGTTGCATCTCAGCGACAACGCCCTGGCGAACTTTCCAGTTCTCAGCTTCGCAATTAAGGCTTCAGTGCAGGTTTGCGGATTTAAGATTTGGGATGTTGTGTTTCTGCACAGGTCCTTAGGGATCTTGCTAGTTGAAGCGGATCAAGCACCAAGGGTGTTCTGTTACTCGTGTTGTTGCACAAAGTTCTACTGCTCAAAGCCCGCGCCATTGGCATCAAACCCAAATGGCCCTGGTTCGTTCCTTTGTTGCCAAACCAGATTTTAGAGCGGGCTTGAGCGCCGCAGTTCGCCATGGTTTTTTAGGCTTTTCAGGCCAAACAACAAGATTGGGGTTTTGTGTCAATTGCCATGTTCGCGGGTGTCGGGTCCGGGGTTTCGCGCCAAAGCAGGTTTGTGAATGAAGAAACAGTTTTCATGAACTGCAGCTGTATCGAAAATCCGGTTGTCGGTGTTTCATGGGTCTTTGAGAAAAGGCGTTTTGTGGGGTGTGGTTTGGCTTAGGTTCTACGGCTCAAGGCAAACGGCGCCAGAATTGTAAAGTCAAGCCACAAAGCCCCGGGGGTCCAGGATGTGGAATTTACTGTTGGGCAAGCGCAATGCTTACGGGACCTGAACCCGGCTTTGATCAGGGTCTGTTGGGTTCGAGGTGCTTAACTTTTCGAATTGAGGACCAGTTTCCGATCCGTTTTCGGCACTTAATGTCGGAGCCGTCAGTAGTTAGTAGCAGCGCTTCCTGTCATTCTATAATAGTTGCTGCCATGGTGATACCGTGCCTCTGTAACCCGAGTGTACTTGCTCTATCACCATCTGTTGCTATCCGCTACAACTCTTGTATGGTAGTGCAAGTTGAAGCTGCGGCAGACCGGAATCCTTCCTTAACTACTTAGCATCATGCGTGAGGCAGGCTAGATGAGAAGAAAAACACCGGAAAGACGAAGCCGACTGAACGAGAAGCTGTCAGGACACCCGCAAAATCGACGCCGTAGAGAAAGGGCCGGGTTTCAGTTTTGTGGCCGGCACGACATTCTGACCCGAATCCATTCCCTAGGCCTGATGTCAAGACTCCAGCCCGCCTCCCTGAGAAGAGGGCTAAACGTAACACTCCAGCCCACCTTCCTCAAAAGGCGAAAGTGTTCCCAAGCCGTACTTCGCTAAGGACAGCTTCTTCGAGCTTTCGCAGTTACAGGAGTGGCTTTGACAGCTTTCGACTTGTTGGGAATCACACTCTTAGGGCGTTAGGGGTCTATGGTATGAAAGCGTTGAGGGTGTCTGAATCATGTCGAGGTTTTGCGGCTTTAGAGGGTGTTATGAAGCCGTATCTTGAGGCAGACTGTATCAGAGGCTAAACGACATGCAGGCAGCCGTGATGAGATCTTAAATGATGGCAGCAACTTCTACGAGAGAGCAGAGTGTGCAAGAACGGCCCCCTAAAATGCCCCTATCCCATGGGACCCATACCCTAAAACTCTAAATGTTGGGGCCACGGTTTAGGCTTTAGGGTTTAGGGCTTCGTCAGATCTGCCTGGTTTTTTGGGGTCGTGGCGGAGTTCACGGCCTCAGCGGATGCTAACGTACCGAAGCGCTCATGGAACTTCCCACCGTTGTTTGATAGGGGATCCTCAAGTATGTTCATGTCTTGAGAACCTAGCAATGCCCCCGGAAAGGCTGCTTAAACTCTTTTGCAACAGTGGGAACTAGCTGGTGAAAAGCTTCCTAGCGACATACCCAAAACGTGGTTGTTTTGATCAGATTTGTCAAATTTGGTTTATGGTTTCGTGTATAGGGATCTCCCAAACGGTCCTTCTTGCATACCTTCTAAGGGGAATAGAGGCCTCCGTTCTCCAGCCCCAGTTCAGCTGTCATCCGAGGCTGCGTGTCGCCTGCAACGACCTCAAAACAGTGCCGGAGAAGTTCGGGCAGCTGTCAAACCTCAAGGACCAACTCGTCTGTTGGAAAGCTGTGAGACGTCATGTGGCTACACTCAAACCAGCATGCTCCGAAGCGGGTAGAGTATTGGGTACAAAGAGAATATACTCCGCGCTCAATTTGGGAGTTTCCGAAGATTAGGAGATACCTTATTCCGGGGTCCTTATAAGAAGGATCCTACTATTTAGGGTACTATATTAGGGTCCCCTATTTTCGGAAACCCCCATTTCCTTCATAACATCACACATCAGAAGGACCTTCCAGGCGGCTTTGAATGTCGATCTGTTCAGGATTCTGGCTTTGGAGGGACCGAATCTACAGCTATTGGCTAGGATCTCCGGTAGTACCCTTATTCCCTTTTTGTAGTCCTAGGTTTCTTATACAGTTACCCAATACCAAAAAGACAGGCCTTTTTTCTTCTTAGGTTACTGGGTAACCTAGTTGGGTACAGGATCGTCGGTTCAAAGCTTGGGGTTGTTGTGAACAAGAGGGTTTCGGGCTTTGGGTCCAGTGCTCCTGCCGATGCTTAACATACTGCCTTATCGTACTTGGAGGTTCATGAGTAATTATGAGTAGCGTTTATGAGTAGGATAATTATATGTAGTATTATGTAGTTATAGCCTTTTGCAGGGCCTTAAAACCTTACTTAAAAGCTCTATGTAAGAAGGAAGGAAGGGCATTTCAGGTCGTCGGCGGTAGAGGGGCATGGACTTCGGAAGCTGTGGCGCCTTGGACAGACTGAGATGTTACCCTGCAGCTACCTGACTTCCAACTCGCATTGTGCCTCGTACCTTCCCTACGGGGTCCGTTCTTTTGTACTTGCTCTCAAGAGTGCCTTACTGTGTTAGCGGCCTAAAAGGGGATCCTGATTTGAAGAGGTACCCTCTTGATAGGAGTGTGAATCACGAGTCCACTGGTTAACTTCATAGTTCTGAAGGTGATGTCAATCCCAGCTTTATTCTTGAGATTGCCCGGTACACTTTTTTCACAGACCCCCAAGACAGGAGCTCGACCTCAGTGCAAATCCGTTGGAGGAGCAGAAACCTGAAAATGTAGACATCAGGTTCCTAAACCCTAAACCCTAAACCCTAAACCCTAAACCCTAAACCCTAAACTTTTGTTTGGGGGTTTAGATGGTGGGGTCTCTTGGGCTTCAGGGTGTCAGGGTGTTTGGTCTTTAGGGTGTTACAAAAGGGTTTTCGGGCATTCCGGCTTCGGTTGCTTCGGCCGCTGGGGCTGTGCATGCCTTTATGGTGGAGAGGTTTAGGGCGTTTAGGGCTTCAGATGGGTTCACTGTCCTGATCCGCCGCTCTTAATTCTTACTTCCGACGCCCTTCTCTTGGATGCTATGGAACCCTAAATCCCGAACCATGTTGCGAGAGTATCCCATGTTGCGAGAGTATCCTGATGTGCATGCCTCTGAAGAGGTGACTTTTTCGGCGGAGAGAAGGTGCATTGGACGTTAAGAAGCCATGTTGCACCTCGATCAAAGACAAACCTAGCGAATCTTCCTGCTTTGTGCTCCTGTTCATGGTCTCAACACACAAGCGTTTAGGGTTTAGGGTTTATTAACTCAATATAACCATAAAAGGAAATGTGGAAGAAGGACCCAACCGAGGCCCCTCCAGAAGAGGGTTTAGGGTTTCTTGGTTATCAGTGCTTGTGCGTCAAGCAGGCAGTGGGGCCACGTAGAAGGAACATACGCCCAAGCATACAGCCTTTTCACTGTAGCATCCTTGTCGCACTGACCGCCAGAAATGCTAAGAACGTCAAACATGACCTAAGCCTCCCAAACGTTTGGCAAAGAGACGAACCTTCACTCTAAAGCCTAAACCCTAAACCCCTAATCTCTAAACCCAAACCTACCTGCGTCTTAAAAAAACTCAAACCTCTTAAAGCTGAATTCGCGCCAGGAGCTCCCTGATAGCCTCGGGCAGCTCGAGCAGCTCGAGGTGGATCTTAGGGACTAGGGATTAAGGGTTTGGGCAAATTAAGGGTTCCTTTAAGGGTTCCCTTAAAGGGTTCTATAAGGACTTAGGGTTTAGGAGTTAAGGGTGTCGGGTTTAGAGTTTAGCATTTAGGTTTAGGGCCAGGGCAGAGGGTTAAGGGTTTAGGGAGTAATGTAGGAACCTGATTGAGAAACCTTGGGCCTTCATTCGGGTTCCGTACATGAATCCCATTATTTTTGGATTATAGGGCCAGGGTTCTTAATCAGGTTCCTACATTAGGGGTTAAGGGTTTGGGGTTTAGAGTTAGCATTTAGGTTTAGGGTTTCGGGTTCAGAGTCTTGGCTTTTCAGCTTGGGTTTAAAGGCTCAGGCAGTGCGAATCAGGGACATCACAACAGTGGGTGTTATGGATGGAGACTTCGAGATTGAACGATGGTGGTGTTTGTGTCAACTCTCGTTCTGCTTACGGTGATGACAGTGATGGCTTTGACATGCTGATGATGATGGCGGTGGTAGTACGGTTGGTACTGGCGGTGCTATCCGTGGTAGTGTCGAGCTTCATGATGACCCGCATGACAGTGAGTCGGATCCGGGCTTCCTTCATCTTTGCTTGAGGTTCGTCTTTGCATGAGTCCTACGCCTCACCCCCCCTTGAGTCTCTTCGCTGTGCTCTTCTCCTTGCCGTTTTGCCGCGGAGCAAGCGGCTCCATATGAGCAATGGCAGCAATGGCGTCTCCTTTTTGCGGTCTCTGGTATGTGCTCGCCTGGGTGCCGCATCGCCTCTTTATAAACGGTTGCAGCATTGGGGCCACATGCGTTATGATATTTCAGACACACTACATGCAATGAACGTCACCCAACACAGTTGTATAGATCCCCCAAACCCAACCGAAGCACGTTATATAAGTCCTAGTTTACAGATGCTGAACCCTACAGCCCAAAACGTAAATCAATCACTTCCCACCGTATCCAGGCGTTGAGACCGAAAGCGCAAGTCCCAAGTGTAAGGCCTCGAAATAATATAGGGTCCTGAATCATTACCTATACTCTTTTGGGGGTTCGGTATTATAATTACAGTATTATCTATTCCAATTGTTAAAGAAAGCCCCTATAGTGGCGCCACACTCCTGGAGGAGCCCTGAACCCTAAAGCCTATACCTGAAACCCTACACCCTGTACCCTAAACCCTAAACTTGTGGAGGAGCTGCACCTGCATATGACGAAGCTGACGGTGCTCCCTGAGTCCATCCAACAGCTGAGGTATACAGGTGCCATCCTAGCCCTGCGGGGTTAGGGTTTAGGGTTTCGGGGGGGTTTAGGGTATAGGGTTTAGGGTTTAGGGGCCTTTTGGGGTTAGGGTTTAGGGTTCAGGGTGTAGCATCGGTTTAGGCTTTGGCGTTTAATTAGGGTTCGGGGTGTAGCCTCATAGTTTTTGAGAGGCTGCAACTCAAGCGGTTGCAGGATACTTGTTCAGGCTTCCGGGAGTGCTTCTGTGGTCTTCAATGGGGTCCGTGGAGGCTCGTCAAGTCTAGGTTCTGCTTGGAGGTTCATGGGTAGTTGTAAGTTGTAAGTAGGGTTACAAGTAGGATAGCTATAGTTACAACCCATTTTAGGGGACTTATTACTTATAACTACCCATGAACCTCCAAGTGGGGCTTCCAGGGAGCGTTAGGCAACATTTGACTTCGACAGCTTTTTGCTTTCTGTGGTGCAGTACTCGTAGCACAGGTCGATTCACAACAGAGGTCCGGCCCCAAACCCGAAGCCCCAAAATCTGCACTACTGGCGAAGGGGCCGCAACCCGTCTGTCAAAAAATAAAACGGCATGCAGTTCAAGCCCCACCGCTGATGGGCAACACCCTGTAGAAATTACATATCAATAACGAATCGTGGAATGCAGCTATACTTGCCGTCGTCCTTCCTTCAACCCTAAACCCTAGAAACTGCCATGCAGGATTTTCCATCCGTAGTATGCCAGGCCCCTCACCTAGGTTCCTGAGTAGTGCTCTTTTTCCCTCTTTGTAGGTAACCTATCCTGAACCCCATAATCCTAGACCTTAGAAGCTGCCCCCACCCTGTAATAGTGACTAATTATAAGGATTACATTAGGGCCCTATTATATTCCTATTATACCACTATTACACTGTGGGGGCCGCTTCTAACCTATACCCTAAACCCTATAGAGCCCTTAAAGGAGCCCCACCTAAACAGGAACCCTGGTCTCTACTGACAAAGCGCACTTACAGAAAGCCATAGCTCAGGTCGTGGCCCCCTAAACGGAACGGTTTGAGGGCTCATGGGTTACGGGTTTAGGGTTTAGGGGTTTAGGGTTTAGGGGTTTAGAGTTTGGGGTTTAGGGATTTAGGGTTTGGGCTTTAGGGGTTAAGGGTTAAGGGTTTAGGGTTTAGGGGTTTAGGGTTTATGAGTTCTATCAGGGTTCTGTATGAGTTCTGTATGGGATACAGCCTGTCGCACTGGAAGCCCAATGCATTATTAAACATATTGCTTGTACTACGAGCCCAAGGGAGCTGTACGGTCCGGGGTGTAGACAGAAAGGTCCACTGCAAACCAACCCCACTTACCACACCACTTGCTTGTCCCCCAAGCTGTCCCCCAAATACAGTAGCACTCCACGGAAGCGTTTAGAGTCTAGGGTTAGCAGTCGGGTTTAGGGTTTAGGGTTTAGCTCTGCTCATACCGTATCCTGCAGATTGTGGAGGGTCTTCGTTTTGGATTTCCTGGCGGCACACCGATTCCAAGGCTTGAACTTCCCGTCTGCAGGCACGATCATCATGACAGACACCTGAAGGGACCCTGCTTGGAGGATCAGGGGGCTTAATAAGTAATGCTACGGTTGATGGTACAAATCCTGCATTACTCATAATAAAGAATATACCATAATTCCCATAGTTTAGGGTTCTTAAGGTCATGCAGGATTTATATCATCAACAGTATGGTGCCGTAGTAAGGGCGGCAGCAAGTAGAGCTACAGCTATTTGATTCATAGTCCTGCTTACTACGTCCCCGGATCCTTTAGACCTGGAGCCTAAATCCCGAGTTTAGAAACCTCAATAATTGTCAGTATGATTCCTGAGGGTTCCTTGTATCTTTATACTGCAAAAGAGCTCCCCAAAGCCCAATCTAATTATGAGGGCCCCTACACTACCACTAGGACTTCCTTCAGTGTCGTCTGACAGACTCGCTGCCGACGCTGGAAAATGGAGTTTGAGATTGAGGGCTTAGGCCTAGACAGATTCTCTTGCTTGAATCGACAGGACAAGCTCTAGGGTTTGAGGCACATTCCTTGCCTAAGGGATGTTGGGCTCCTTGCTACAGCAGTAGTTTGATGGATCGGTGAAACAGTCCAGAGTCCAGACAGTCAACGGATTCATCAGCTGAAAGTCGTACCAGCAAAGTCGTCATCGTAACGCCGAAGGCGCACCGAAGTCCGAATATCTATCTCCCGCAAATTCTCGGACGTCGTATTGACAACTTCATGTTTGCTGGGAGCCGCAGACAATGCTGCAGCTTCCAGGCCCCAAGACCTAAACCCATTGCTCCGGATATCTAAGTCTCTGCAAGAAGAAGTTCATCCTTAGCGTTTCTCCAACTTGCGGGCTTGTGCTTGTGCGTTGGGTCGGCGAATGAAGAGTCGTCTAAAGCTGGTCTTTTGCAAAGATGGATGAATGTAGACATGCTGACATTTCCGGAACCCCTCTACCGTAAACCCTAAACCTTTACCGCTACTGAAAAACCTAAGCCCTCAACCGAAATCCAAAGTCGTAACAAGAACCGTAGATCCCCGAACTCTAAATCCTAAGCCGTAAACCGCAAACATGAACCCTAAACCAAACCCTATAAAGGGAACTCCAGAAAGTTGGAATATGGATTAATGGTAGGATCCAGGCTCAACCGCTGCGAATGAAAATAATGGTAGGATCCCCTATAATGTACCTTAAAGGTGTTACAAAAATGATATTCCAACTTTCTGGCTTCTACTGTAGAACCCTGAAGGGAACCGGGAACCTCTGCTTCGACTCGTACGAAACCCTGGGCAACACGTCTCAAGCCTTCACCTAGAGCAAGCAGTTGAGCAAGCAGTCGTAATCTCCCTGGCAGTCCAGATATTCAGAGATCCCACCCTAATTACTAAGGCCCTCCAATTACTAAGGCCCCTTTGTTCATCCCCTCCTCCCAAGGTCTACTTCTGCGTTGACCCGCGGCGACCCAAGTTGGGGGAGTTAGGGGCAAAGGGCCAAACCTCAAAATTTAGGGTTAAGGGGTTTAGTGGTTTAGGGTTTAGGGGTTTAGGGTTTGCAAACCCTATAAGTTCAAAATGCGAAGCCCAAACAGCAAAATTGCAAAACCTTAAAACCTAAACCTGCGTTTCCAAATGTTTGGAATTCGAGGCCCTGGACGCTGAACAGGCCTTGAAATGCTGCACTTCGCTCCCCCTGGAACTTAGAACCCTTCCAGCCGTAAAAAGCATTAAACACTATGCCCGAGACCCTGAAGCCCAAGCCCTCAAAAGACATGATGATGTGCTGTGCCGCTGCTGGGAGGAAGTGTTCGTGGTGAGGTGCTCAGTGTTGCTAGAGAGGCCCTAAACCCCAAACCCTAAACCCTAAATGAGCTGTGGGATGCGGCTGTAGATTCGACTATCCGAGCGGACTCTGATGTTGTTCTCTATTCCATGTGAGCAGAATCGAAGGGTCTGCAGAATATCGCATACCGCCTATACCAGATCTTCGTGAGACACTATCTCGTACAATGAGCAGGCTACAGAGCTAGCCTTTCCTTCGTCGTGCCTAACCTGCCCCACTTGGTCAGGGTTTGAGGTTGAGGGCAAAAGCCCTAAACCTGATACCCCGAAACCCCCAAAAACCCTAAGCCCTGAAGGCACATCCCATGCAGCTGGCGACTGTGGAACCCCAAAACATGAAGTATCCCGCTTTCGAAGACAGACAAAGTTGGACATTGAACTTCCTTGCCACAATCGCACCGTATCCCTGGACCCCAATGCGTGTTCGATCCTGAAGCTTCTTGGCGGCTTAGCAACCTAAAGCCTCAGAGATTTAGAGAAACTTCACGGCGTATGGCCCTCTGAACCCTACTTGGAGGTGCATCGGTTTTTTCAAAAGGGTTGCAAGTCCCAAATATAGGCTGTAACTGTAGGTCCTGTAGGTATCCTAATTATAATACCTACTTATACCTACCCATGAACCTCAAAGTGCACCCTACACCTTACAACGTAAACCCCGAAGCCACACCCATGGGATGGCAGTGACACTGCCGCCACTGGCCTTTCTTGTTGCGGAGGTGTAGGATATGTAGGGGTCGCTGCAAGACTAACGCAAAAAAACCCGCAAAGTCTCTGTTGCAAGGTTTGCTTTCATGATCTACAAGGCACAGTAGTGCTGACCTCTCCGGGCAAAGGTGCTGGAGGACCCTAACAAGCACCCCCAAACCCCAGACTGGAAACACCCCAAACCCTATCCTCTAGAACACAGTTAAAGCACTTATAAACACATACCATATTTATTGTACAGCACCGCAAATGCATTTTTGTTGAGGGATCTCTGTCGGAATCTGCTATTCAAACGACACTCGCCACGAAGATGACGAACTTGTTGAACATGCACAGCGCGAGAACATAAGTTATGTTGACATAGGTTCATGCCTTTTGCATCCAGATTTGATACAATGCTGGTTCATGTTCGATCTTGAACTGCTAATCATCTGTATTCTTTCAGGGTGATAATTTCCGCATCAGTGCTGTTGATTTAGCTCGTCACGCTCTTGCCACGACATTCTATCCAGAGGCATGTTCTGCTTCGTCTTTCTTAATGCACCTCAGCTACTGTTCCCGATACGGCCTCCATAATGTAGGAACCTGATTAAAAAACCCTGGGCCTATAACCCCAAAATCGTGGGCGTCATATATGGAACCCTAATAAAGGCCCAAGATGTCTTATTCAGGTTCCTACATTAGTGGCGAAGATGCTGCATCATACCGATAACGATGTAGATGGAAGTGGTGGCGGTAAGGTTCCCTCCTCCTTGCTCGTCTCAGTGATGTGGCCACTACGTTTTGTCCGTGGAATGTGGTCTCCCTGGTGCTTAGTAGGAAATTTGGGAATGGATCCCTTCTGGTAGTCCTAATAAGCCATTCCCCCACTCCCTACTAAGAACCATACAGTAGTTTGCTGCAGGAAGCAAGCTGCAGCCGCATCCCAACCATGGCCAGGGTATGGTAACATCTCAGTAGGGTTTAGGGTTTAGGGGTTTAGGGGTTTAGGGGTTTAGGGGTTTAGGGGTTTAGGGGTTTAGGGTTTAGGGTTTAGGGCAGGAGGAACAGTACGAATGAAGACAAGCAAGGCACCAAAATGTGGATGAAAGACAGAAAATATAAAAGCAGCGAACGCATGACGATCCTGCTGTCATAAGACGGCTAGCTGGAGTAGTAATTGAGGACCTGCAGTGACAGCGAGGTTTGCCTGACCGTTGCAACTCTGAATTGCTCCGTGCTGTTGCCATGGACGTCAGTCTTCTTGCAAATCATGTGCCAACTGCTGCCATTCCCGGTCATAATTGAAGGTTCATGGGTAGTGATAAGTAGGGTCGTACTCCTCCTAAGAACCTTTCGTTGCGCAGGTTTCAAATGGTAGCCGAAGTAAGACAATCAAACACACATTGCCCTATGAGGCCCCGTGCACGAGCTCAGAGGCTCCAATATGGAAGATTTATAAAGTCACGAGCCCGAGTGCATACCCTCAGTGCTGCCTTGCTTCCCTAATGATCATTTCTTGCCATGCTGGTAGCATGTTGCTGCATTCTGAAGGCATCACTACTCGCATGGCGCATGTGAGTACATTTGATAGGCACTCTCCCCCCGTTTTGATTGCAGGACAAGTGCATGCCGAAGCTGAAGCGATGATGGACAGATGACGGGCAGAGTGCACCATGTCCAATGTCGCTTTGCAGCAAATCATCCCAGTGCCGCTACGTAGAGGCACGGCAGTCACAGCAAGCGCATGCAGACCAAAGACAAGGGCAACATAAATTCTACTTCAGTCAAGTAATTAGCCCATAACAGGCATACCAGCTGACTGAATTCAGAGTTTCTGGCTGCTAAAGCCGTCGACGTCGACGCCTTCCCTACACAAAGAAGTAGCTAAAGCATCACCCCTAAACCCTACACCCCTGAACCCCTAAGCCCTAAACTCCTAAACCCCTAGAACTTTCAAAGCAGCTCTTGAGCTTGTAACTCATGCTATCGGCGAAGGGGAGGCGCAGCTCTGTTTCACCATGCGAGCATTCCCGACCTCTTGGCCGGCAGTCGCTCTGTGCCCAAGTTGCTGGACAGCCCCTACAACCTCACCCAATGCAGAAGTCTAGGTTTAGAGAGTCGCATCTGTGCGCACACGGCTCCGCAAGTCTTTAGGATGTTTCCTCATGTGCAGAGCATTGCATGGATTTAACTGCTTGGCATTCCTCTTGAGGACAACACAATATAGAGGGAGACACCCTAAAACCCCGGACCCTGAAGCGTCCCGACGAAGAACACCACTGAGCTTCACTTGGCTAGTGCGTTGTCCTGGAAGGCTCATGAGCCCCGAAGTCTTGACCGCTTAAGCTTTGGGTGTATAAGTTTGGGCTTCGGATCAGTCTACGTGGTCAGAGGCTTAGGAGGTTTTAGCATTTGAGGGTTGCGGAGAGCAGAACCGAAGCTTAGGGTGTGAGGGTTCTGCCCTCGTTGATATGACAACGGAGGGTGCTCCTGCCCCTGTCAGCTGACTCAACATGG